AAATCAACAGAACTTTAAAATATTAATTGTCCTTTTTAAAAATAAGAAGCTATTCTCCAAAACAGCCTTGATAATTTAACTTGCAAAGTCCACCATAGCTGATTCTATTGTGCTCTATTATCCGAAATGCCTCTGCAACAATCCAAGGAGCATAGTGCTTTAATTCCCATAATGGCACATATCACCTGTCTGTCTGTCAGTGAGACGTCTGAAAGCATCTTTTTATTAGGAACACAAATCAATATGCCCAAGGGATGACAAAAGCCACTTGAAGCAATTTGTATTATCATTTCATCCTGACTTTCTTGCTAGGAGCAACTTATTCTTATGAATGGCGTGAAAATGGCAACCTGTCACAATTGATTTTTCTTAACCTTCTGTAAGAAATTTTTTCCTCTTAAATGTAATCAAGTGTCATCTTATTAAATATATCTCAAGCTCAGTTTTATAAAGCAATCCATCAAGTTGCACTCCTTATAATTTAAACGTTCACCAAATATTATCATAAAAGTAATTGCTTAGTAATAAAGACTTTTGATTTGTTCAAAGTTTTAAAACATCTTCAAGCTTGTATGGACTCATCTCCCTGCTTTCTGTCTGTATTGGTGACAGAGGAGGAAAAACATTCTCACCCTGGAAAGGAGCTCTAAGAACTTTTTATTACAGAGTGTTCCTCCATCTAGCAACACTATAGAATTTATTCTTAATCCCCACGTCTGGATAAAACATGCTGCATTTAAAGGAAGTACTTTAATAAACTTATGCAATAAGCATAAAGCTATGTTCTCATTAAATAAAATCATCAAATTAGATTTCAAGATCCAATTTCAAAGACCAATCCCAAGGGTAATTCAAGTGGACATGTATCAGTGTCACTAAAATGGTTATAGCTTAATGAACCCATGTATGAATTCTCTGTGCATCTTAGTTGCCATGACCTAAGGGGACAGTGACATCAGAACCCCCACACCCAATCACTGACTCAGCTGGGCTGTGTAGGTTGATGTGAAGCTATGTCAGCAGCCCAGGGCCATTCACCTAGGGCAGTGGTCAGCAAACTGCGGCTCACAAGTTTGCCAACCACTGACCAGGGCATGAGATGTGGCTGTGCGGGCTACGTCTTACAAAGTAAGATGATTAAGGCAGCACCTAGAGAAAGAATCTTCATTTCTATTTTTTTTAAATGCACACTTAGAATACAATAGTATGATATCTGTTAACACTAGGTTTTAGGTATATGAAGAATATTCCTTCTTTTAAAAAAGGAAGCTAGAGGAGAATGAATGAAGATAAAAAAGAGAATTAGCCAAAATAAGGCTTGGGACATCAGTCAAGTAGAATGATAAATTTAAAAAATGTGTTATGAAACAACCGACAATATTGGTTAAAAACCCAACATCCATATGGGAGAACAGTTTAAAACGTACAAATGCTCATCCTCAAGAAGCTCCCATGCCAGTGAGGAGTTGCACACACTCATGCCCCCATTAGCAAGAAAGGCTGATGACATTCCCAGTCAGAGACAGCATTCCTGGTCATAGCCTAGGAGAGTGGGTGATGGAAATGCTATGATGTCTACTATCCTAACCATAGGGCCTTCTGATGTCACTGATTCCACTGATCTGCAGGCATGCATGTTACCTCTAATCCCCTGACATGTCCACCCAACCACCTGCCACTTTAGATTAGCCACTACTTTGCTTCCACTTTGGGGCTCTTGAAAATCAGCCTCAGGAAACCACACATCTGCTACCAGCTTTGCTACAAACCGAAAATCCCTACACTAGTTGGGTCCGTGGATTGCTCAGAAATTCACAAGCCTCAACTGTGAGGCTATGGTCCTCTGTGCATCAGAAGTGGCCTCAAACCCTTACCATGTTCTGCATCAAGTTCATTACTTCAAATCCTGCGCATTAACTTCCCCCCCCTTAAATCAGCACTGCTTTTACTGCAGTGTTTTTTATCCTAGGAACTTCAAGCAATTTTCCAAATTTTCATGTCCTTCTTATATACACTAATTAATAATGAAAATAGCAAATAAATGAAACAGAGTGTGAGAGAGGAGGAAGGAAGGAGAGACTGACTGATGACTGTAAATATTTTATATATTATAAATCAAAGAAGCCATGTTTATATGGCAGCTACTCTCTATATAACAATATGTAACTTCCTTTTAAGTAACCTTATGTTTACATATTTAAGTTACTCCTCCTGAATATCCATAAGACTTATTCTTCTGTAGAATATTTTTAGTTCTTTAAAAACTAAGACACTCTCTTCTTTTATTGAAAGCATTCATAGTTGTATAGTATTCATTTTCTCACCAGAAACAAATAAAATCAATAAATAAAACCCTATTCATGTGGGACAGTTTTTGTCATTTTTAATCTCCACTGGGTCTCCAGTGCCGGGGCTACCCACTCCCCGCCCCAAGCCTGTTCAGTCTTCTCACTCTGATGCCAGTGCTCTGACATGCTCTCCAACCCCTCCACACACACACCCTGCCTAACACTGCTGACCTTGAAAGAGCACTCCCACCTGTCCTTATGAATTGCACACCAACAGATCTATGGCAATGACTGTCACTTCTACAATGTTTCCCACCTGCATCTCCCACGACCCTCTCTTCACTGACTCTGTCCCCCTTGTCTCCACAGCACCAGTGTGCTGCTGATGACTGGCCTCTGGAAATGCCTTCTTCTCCCACTGTCCTTCCTGGCTGCTCTCCTGCTCACCACCCTAACTCCTGGCATGGGAGATTCTATGAGATCCCTCTTTTTTTTTTTTCTTTTTTTTTTTTTACTAGAGACTCTAACCATGGAGCACGCAGTGTGTAGTCAGTTCTCAATTCTGTACGAAAGGTAGGGCCATATTGCCGAGTCCTTCAACTTACACGAGGCCACTGAATTGCTCTGGCTGAGGAAGCCGTGAGGTCAGCATGGACTCAGCCATTTCTTCTGACCTAGTTTCCAGAGGCACCGAGAGCCCATGATAAGCAGAGCAACATGTGCAGTGAGGAGAAGAAACCTGTGTTGTAGTAGCTACTATGGTTTCAGGGCAGCCCGTGGAACAGCTGGACAGAGACATGACTCTCACAAATTGGTATTCCCACCCCAAATGATGGCTGCCAATGGACTCCACCACAAAATCGGATCTGATCACATCGGTTACCTACACTCCATGCACATAGCTCTCAGAATTGAGGTTAGGAACAGTTTTGATTCCCTGAAGAAGTCCAGTGAAACCTAGGTAAATGATTTGATTTCCCTATTAAATGTTTACTTTTTATTCCTACTAGTGCTCTTTGAAGTCCAAAAGGTTGTTGGTTACTAAGCTATGTCAGAACAGTGAGCTGCAGACTGCAGATGATAATGTCGTATGAACAGTGATTAATAATCTGTCTTCCCTTCTCTAGTTAGGGACTTACATATCACATACTCTTTTCACCCAGCATATGTCAATGCTTCCCTGGATAAATTACATCTGTTACTTGCTGTCCATTGTAGCCTGTAACCTTTTCCTGAAATTTTCCTTTTAAATCTGACATTTAACACTTAGAAAGATTTAATGGCATATGCAAATTTAGAGACTTTATTTCTCTCCTAAAATTATTCCTCAATTTACACAAATGGTTCCATATGTAGTTGGAGCTCTGTGCATAGTGCCTCCAAGGAGAAACGAACATGGGCTGACAAGCCCCAGCCTCCTGCTCTACGATCTCCCTGCACTGCGACCAAAGCACAGCGGCTTGGCGGAGGGTGTGGTGCAGACTAGTGACCTAATGGAAAGAAGTCTCAGCATCATGAATGCATGTGTACATGTGTGCCCATGTTTGTGAGTGTGCGTGCATGCATGGGGAGCACTCTGCCTTGCCTTAGCTGTTACTGCCCCCACAACTTCCATTGGGGAGGGCACAAAACATGGACTGAGCACCAAGAAGGAGCCTGACACTGGAAGAGCACATTTGCTTTACATGTGAGGTTGTCAAGAGGCAAAGTGACGATTTAAATCTAATGTGGGAAACTCCAAAGGTGCCTTCCTAATATAAGGTACATACTGCTAACACCAGGGAAATCTAGAAGGGTCTTTTTTAAAAGTGAGTGGGAGAGAAAGAGAGTGTGGAGGAGTGAGTGCAGAGGGTCAGTGGACGGGGTTTTCCAGGGTTGGGTTGGTGGAGGGATGTGGGGAACTCAGAACTGCGCACAACTACTTAGTAAAGACTTCTTGACTGACATTGAGGGTTGGATTCAAAATCTATGGCATTCGTTAACACTTCACATTTCATTTCACAGGAAGATAATAATGATAGGTAACATTTATTGAGTAGTAAGACACAGAATTAAGCCACATGTCCAGAGTCAAAGAGCTGGTTAATGGCAATGCCCAGACTATAAGCCAGGCAGTCAACTGCCAGGGTTCAAGTTCTTACCTGAGGTCATACACTTAACTTTGGATGATACATGTTGAGTGGATAAATAACAATTTTAGAAATATATTAGTTTAGAAATAGAATCAAGCAATCTTTAAAACTAAAATCTAGTTTTTAACATATCTCTTCTAAAATGGCAATAATTTACATAAAACTAGTTTAAAAATATAACACTATGAAATTAAGTACTCTAAAAATAATGCAGATTCCTTTATTTTAAAAAGAATCATTAACATAAAAAGAAAGAGTGCCAATTGTAAAGTAGATTGAAGAGACATTAAGAGGCCTACAATTAACTGTCAAATTATGGGTAAATTGTATATCCAGTAATGAAAATTTAAGAGACATATAAAACTGATTAACCAAGAAAAGATACTTTTGGAAATTTTTCTGTATGTGCATGTTGTTACATAAATACAGAGAATTCTTATTCTAAATCACCAACCTTTTGGAAAGTAATTTTACGTTATGTATTAAGCTAAAATGAATGGGCTATTCAGAACTACATGTACTTTCTTACTGAAAGGAAAAAGCAAGTTCATTAAAGCAGTTGCTCCTTAATCTAGCCTACCTTATTTTTTGGATTGGATGTGTTCATTACACTTCGAGTCTCTTTTCCAGTATAAATGACAACACCTATTACAGTACCTGCAAAAACACGAAAGTGGTCCTTACAGAGATACTTTAAATGGTAAGCACAGAGATAATACTTTCTAATTAAATTATTTGATTGGAAGTATTATTACACCATTTAATTTTATATAAATGTATCCAACAGCACATTTGATTGGATTTGTTCAAGAACACCTAATCTTAACTTTTAAAATAAATTTTGAAAAATTCAAATGATTTCTTAAGCAACACAAATTTACCTAAAGATTACATTAGGTAATCTGAAAACAGAGTGACATTGTTCATTCATTATTGTCTACTAAGATGGTAACTCTAACACTGAAGTTAAATGAAGAGAGGCCACATTCTTAACTGGTCAAAGTCATCTTGTGACCTTTTAAAACCACGATAGTACCAACTGAACCAGTTTCTGTGAACAAGAGTCTAGGAGTATATTTCACTGTAAAGATTAAAGTCCTAATATTTTGGCACATATATAATTAATACAATAAGAGAAATGCAATAAAAATATTTGATATTCAATTTAGATATTATTAGTCTTTTTTATTCATCTCCTGAAAGTTTGGTTTTCTAGTTTTATGTCAAGAAAAAATGATAAATTTGTGTTCCATTAAACTTAAGACAAAAGAATCATAAAGTACCCCAGAACAACCTATATGCTGCAAAAGATGTACAGAGGCAGGCATCTCTGAAATGTCAAGTTGAAACCATGAATGTCTGTTTCTAGGACTGCAGCTGTGCATAATTTAAAATCCTAACTTTGAAAAATTTGAAGGTAAGAAATATGATTAAAGAAAGACAGTCAACAACCATTGTAGAATTTACTATGATAATTAAGCTCTGATGTCATATTAAGTGAAGGTGTGGTATTTAGTGTGTCATTAGGTAGGACACTCTGAGTAAGTGCAATCACAGAATCCTGGACATAAAGCACAATGACAAGTCACAAGACAAAGTGCTTCCTCCACAGGGTGTTCAGGAAGAGAGCGCTAGAGTACTGCTAAGTAGTGCAATATGTAGAGGGGACACATATTTTTCTGTTTTAGAATAAACACCCTCCCACACACATCTTTTAAAAAGGTGTGTCACTGGGGAAGCTGTGTTCTTAAAAGCAGAGTAAACTCCAAACCGCACAAATGCTATCTTTATATATTATTACTCTATAAACTTCTAAGATAGTCTGTCTGTTAGCATATATATAAAAAAATATTAAATTAACAATGATATAATACTTTAAAACTTTCCTAATTTGCCAATTAAGTTTAACTTAATTAAAATATAAAAGTGTCACTAATGTAATGTAAGCATAAAAACAGAACAAGGAAAATTACAAAATTAATTTCTTTTTAATTAATTTATAAAAAAACAAGTCTCAGAAAAGGCTTGAAAGTTAATCAAGCTAAAAACCACTGTCCTAATGTGTAGGTAGGTGACTAGTGATATCGACTCCAGGCTGGTACTACACTTTAAAGTGTCTCAGATGAAGTCTATGAAATGACAAGACCAACAGGAAACACTGCATTCAGACAGACAAAGATTTAATTTTTACTAAAAATGAGTACTTGCTGGAGTTAGAATAATGCATTTTTTACTGAGTTTCCCATACATTTTAATTACTAAAATTACTAGTCAGAACAGCATATTTGAAATATCCTCCATTCTCTTTGACAACAGGAATATATTTATAGGCTAAAAGAAAGAGTAAACCTGTATACTTGGCAAATCAAAGAAAGATGGGAAAGGGGTTACCTGTTAATTTAAAAATGAGACGTGAGGGGGCAACAAGATATAATACATTTGTCAGACTTAAGGAGAGACTGCATATGAGAAAGACAAGATGTAGGGGAAAAACAAACAGACAAAGAAAGATCAAGCAACCAAAGTCTTACTTGATCCCAATCATATACCCAGAACCTGCTACACACAGTAAGAAAACTGAGGCCAGTATGGCAGCCTTGGTGACTGGCTACAATTTACAGATGCTTTCCTAGAGCCAGTCTCAACAAAATCTTACGTACAAGCTGCTCGAGCATCCCTGTGTGGGGGTGAGAGGGTGAGGATTAGGGGATATTGGGAGAAGCACCAAGCAGCAGTGGAGACATAGCGGTGACAGTGAGCCAGTGACCACTACACACCTGCCAGATATGCCCACATGCCCCAATGAACCCAATAAATCAGCCTAAGAAAATCTACACAAGAGATGAGGCAGGGACATACAGTGTCAGATGGGACCTGCACCAGATCTGGGCTCTGGCAATCGTGCACGTTTGGGGAAGACATCAGAGCAACACTTTTGCCCACTTTCTCCACCTACCTCTCATCCTCTACACTTGCCCATGAGACAAGTTTGAGAAGCACAACTCCCATTCCTGTTGTGGATGATGTGCCCCATGCTGCAGTGGGTTCTTTGATGTCCTCACTTCCCCTGTATGCTCAGCCAGAAGCTGGTTTGTGTCTGTCCCAGAGCTCCAGGCTGTCCCTCTGGGGCTGTCCTCATGGAGCAGCTTCTGCAGCTACCTTAATCCTAGAAGGAGTAACCTATTTCTAGAGCAGGAGCCCCACAAACAATGAATGATAAAGGGCCAGGTTTTATTTTTAAATTATTAATATGTTGTGAGGACTAGTTCTGTAAAATACCACAATAAAGTAACAAAAGAAACAATTATAAAAACAAGGAAATATACACTCCAATTTTTCTAACATTAAATTACTTCATCAGTTGTTATAAAAATTTCCAAATGTTTCCTCTCATTTTCTGTATTTATCACAATCACTGTCAGCTGTGGCCCTGGGCTGTCAGGCCTGTCTGACATTCACTGAACTGGAGTGTATGTTTAATAAAGTTTCCATGTTATGCCAGGCATCTTGAGAAACACTTGTTTGGAGCCACTCAAAAACACAAAGCATAATCTATTATGTGAGAATTAACTATAAAAATGGAGCTTATATCTTACCTGATGCGACAACTGTGCTTGCCCACAATGTATTTTCTATGCTGAGACTCTCATGAATGGGTGGATCACTGTCTTCCTGTTCAGGAAAAGATAAACAATACTAAATTACCAATATATGGATTACTCACACTTCAGATATCGAGAGCATTAAAAAGAATTGACCAGCAGCGAAAAGGCACTGCAAAATAAGATGGAAAAAAGGAACTGAGACAGTATTTTGAGATGGTGGAGCAGGAAGCACCAGGAATTTCTCCTCATTTGAACAACTACTACAGGGCAGAATCTGCCTGATAAAACTCCTTTAAGTAAAGGTTAATTATATTTTATATATTAAATAAAGGTTTGTTGATTTAACAGAAGACTTAACTCACCCTGGTAAATGTGCCTTCAAAGCTGTGAATATCCAGCTGTGGCTTCTGAGCATGGACATAAGCACTGATGGAAAACAGGTCCTGGAAGACAGAGCATCTAAATTAGTAACATTAAAATTAAACAAAGTTTCTTTAAAGTTTTCAGCTACCATTAATATTTTTCTATATTATTTACCAAAAGTGATGGTAGATTTTCTTATATTTTTGTGCCAACATTATGAATTAGGATGGACGATAACTAAAAAAAACCAATTTCTAAGCTCAAGGGGGGCTTGGCAGTTCTCTTGATTCTAACAAATCACTGCTACCTGATGACAGGTGTGTGTCCAAAGCACTTGGGAGATACTGGTAAGATTTTTTTTGGATGTCTGGTATTTTACTCAATCTCTATTTCATTTTGGTTCTCAAAGACACTGAGGATATGTTAGACTATTCCATAATTATTCTATCACACCTCTGATAACCAATATTCTCTGAATAACAATACTAGGACAACTTTTTTTTAATATTTCTAATTGGCTACCGAAAACTAGACAAATTCAATACAGAAGTTTAAAAATATTGGTCTTTTACTGAAGGGCTGAATTTGACTGGGATGTTGACATTGGTCCATAAACGTGAAGAGTAAGGAGTTCAAGCCTGTCCTTGTCTCATTCTCCTATTGGCGCTGCTGCCTATGGGTTGCACAGGACAGATAGTGCCCTGGCCTCGGCTTGCTCCTATCTGCATGTCCTCTGCGCCATCTCAGGAGGACCGGGATTCCTGTTCCATTTAATAGCACTGTGAGAGTTATCAGCAGATGTAAGGTAACCTGAAGATAACTGAAAAAGCTCAGGAGAATAAAAAAGAGACTTAAATTATAGGAAAATTCTGTAATAGGACTACAGGTTTGACAGAACAATCTAGTGACTATTAAAAAGATTAATGAAAAGAAAACTAACCACTCAAGCTGCACAACCAGGTCAAAGCTGCTTGGGGGACAGACAACTCTGCAGCTCTCCAGCTGAGCTCTGATTTCTGAATGGGGGTCGGGGTGGGAGAGGGAGTGGGGAGAGAGTGGGAGAGGAAGCAGCATTCTGGTCTGCCCTGAGTGGCACCAGTGCCATGCCCTCAACACTCCAATGTGCTGGACACAGACTGTGCTCCCATCTAGACAGCTCTGGAACTCTCCTTGGTGTGAGGCTGATGCCATATCTGAGTTAGAGCTCTCAGGGCACAGCCTGGAAGTCTCATCACTTGGAACCCTGGACCTACAGACCTCAGATCCCCGTACTGAACTCTCACTGTCTACCAGGAATGTTTTGACCATGACTGGAGCAATGCCAAACTGAGTGCAGGAATGGCCTTATGGAGACACCTGGGACCTGGGACTAGTGCAGAATTTGAATCCCTGGGAGGGACATAAACCATGAAAACTGGATGCTGGCTGGGCTCTCTGAGCTGACCATGACCAAGGGCTTGGGCCCTGATGGGGCCATCTGAAATTGAGCCACTGTTGCACGAACATGTGACCCCTGCTCACAGCTGCAAGTGGGAGGCCCACCTTTCAAGGTGTCACCGCTGTCACCTGTGGCTGGCACTCCAGCTCAACTGCAGCTTGAAGCAGTTGATCATGAGCCTAACCTGCTTCCCTCACTTTCCTTCTGTTCACAGGCCTTAGTAAGGCAGCTTTATTACCGAATGCTGCTGTTCCAGAGAGGGAAAGATCTGTTCTGGGCCACTCCCAAGGTTAATGGAGGAGATGACTGATAAGACAGGGAGTTAGGATTGCTGTCTAATACCCAAAGATGCTGCCAGAGAATACTGGGCAGGGCACAGGAAGGAGGTCATCCCTAGTCTGGCAGAAATGTCCGCATGCTCTCCCCTGCTGCCTGAGGGAGCTTCTCCCGAGTTTAGAAACTGAAATTCAAAGGGACAGCTGGGCTTTCTCAGGTGGGTGCCATTTCAACTGGCTGCTTCCAGGACCCATACAGGACACACCTGAGACCAATAGGGCAGGCTGGTCTCACCCAGCTGGGCAAGGACCTAGATATAACAATATACTTTTCCTGTAAAGATGTCTTGGCCAGTGTCTGAAAATGTGAATTTCAAGAGGGTTCCCAGCATTCCCAGAGAAGAAAGGCTCACTGGGCCTAAACTGTTTATTCCAGCAACATGTTTCCGGAATACCTGCTTTTCTTCTGGGCAAGCTGAGGTGCCAAGGGGCACCCTTCCCCTCGCAGGCAGAACTTCATATGCGTCCTCACTACCTGCTGCTGACAGGACTCAGTGTGTCCACTGGGAACAGCAACCAAAACCACACTCCAGCCTCTGTTCTGGGAGCTGCAGAACAATTCTTCTCCAGCTCCATGCCATGTTCTTATTTCCATGATCATGTCCTTCAATGAGGTCTCATCTCCACTTGATCCTTCTTTGTGGCTTCTTTCAGACTGCAGTGTCCTCTGGGATTTCTCAGAACACACCAGAGATTTGCATGATGCTTTCCTACTCCTGGAATGGTTTTGCAAGGCTTGTGGCCTTTCCATTCCCGCTACTTTTAAACATGTATTCAGGGTCCCTGTGGCTAGGGAGGCAGAACATGGAGGGCTCCCTGCTGTGTGCACAGCCTCCCGTCAGGGCTGCTCTGTGAGCAGGAGCCTGGCTGCTGGCTGTATGTCATCACTTGCAGAAAACAGGCAATGGCCTAAAAATGATATGGCCTCCTCAGGAGCCATGTACTAGTTTTCTGTTTACATTTCATTTCCTCCTTTAACCTAAGTGAGAGAGATATACACATTTTTCAAGTTGCTTAGAGTTCCTGAGAACAACTGTGAAATAACTGATTATAGTACAGATGGTAATCCTGACAAGATTCTAAGGGGGGCATCTGTTCTGAGGACCCTAATGACTGGAGTCTCAATACCTCACCCACTGAGGTGAGAAGTGTGATGGCAAATGAGGGGCAGTGAGATGAAGATCACTGTCCACCACTCTGCCATGGCCTTTAAAGGCAGAACTTCAAGCTTAAGATGGGTGCATGGCCTCTATAAAGAACACAGACAGCTAGTTCTCACCAAGTAGCTCATTCTAGTGGTGAGATGTGATGAAAAGTGCCAAGTTCCTGGGTGAGAATGCTCTCCCACGCACTTCCCCTCCTGCTGGCGAGCCGGCTGGGAGCAGACATTTGGAACAGTGGAAAAATCACAAACGGAGGACAGAGCTGTCTTCTCAGCCTGGGACCACTGACCTCTGGGATGTTGGTGAAGGAGAAAAACTTGTCTCTTGACTTAAGGTGGATCAATACAGGAAATAGAAACCATTCCTCAGAGAAGAACGAAATTGAATACATAAAATCAGAGGAGGAAAGAGGATCATGACTAACCTCCAAAAATTACTCACAGAATGTTACCAAAATGATTCTCCATGGAAAACACTGTTGCCACTATCAAGTTCAATACACAGCAACCCTGCTGCACAGAACCGCTGACAGAAAGCTAACGCATCCCGGTCCCTGACTTACAGTACACACTCTCTAGGAAAGATCTTCACACACCCTCCAGAAGACCTGGGAGCAGAGATGCTACACCAGCTGAAGGGAGAGTACAGCAGCTCAACACTGTGGGTCTGTGACTGCAGCAGAGACTATATATTAACTAATAAAAATTTATTTTCAAACTAATTAAGTCAAGCTAGTTTACACAAGAAGAAATGCATTGTATGGTAATTTTAGACTTATGAAAACACAACTAGAATCAAGCAGCCAATGATTCCTAGGATAAGGCCAGTTTGAGAATCATTCATCAGTTAAGTATTATACTGTCATAGTAATTTTCAAAAAAAAAATAAAACATTCATATAACAGATTATCTTTGGAGACATAGAAATAAAGAACAAGCTAGCTTTGACATGTGCATGAACATTTAGGGGAATGCATTTCATCTAGTATATTAGACATCAAATGACTGAATGATGGCACAATAATGAGAATGCCATTCGAAGCTTTTCATGATAATTTAAAAACCATTCTGAAGTTTTCAATCATGTAGGAAAGCCTCTGCTATTAGGTCAAGGGCAACATTTGTTCGCATTACTTAAAGGTCATTAAAATACACCCTTAATCATAACATGTGGTTCATTACAAATAAAATTGCCTTTCGTTCAATAAAACTCATTAAATGTAAATGGTATTGTTTACTGCTATATGGATCCTTTGAAATAAATCAGCAAGTCATGATTTATTGAAAATTACTATGACCTCATTGTTGTTAATAAATTTGCCTGGGGATCACAAAAGCTAGAAACATATTTCCCGAATGTCTAGGGTGCCTGGAATGTGTACCTCTTAGACAGGCGCCTGTGTAGTACCAAGACACGGAGCCAGCATTGCAAGAACTGCAGCACAGCTGTATTAAAGAGCTTGTCAAAATTTTAATTCTCTGATCACATTAGGTGCTCTGGGAATGCAACTAAATTAGAGAGGTTATTCTTGATGGTGTCCTCAGTTCATTAAGATCTGTAGGTTCACTTATTCCTGTGTCACAATGGACACAATGCTCAACTGATGATGTGACAAAGAGTGAAGAACACCAAATATTCCCGAAATCCATTACATTAGAAACAGAAAAGTCAAAATGAGTGACAGTTATGGGCAGCATAAGCTATTAAATGAAAGACCAAATTGCCTTGTCTGTATCCATAATAAAATTACAGCTTTCTTTTCTATGAATAAAGTTTCTATACACAATCTACCAAATTATATAAAGCTACACATTTAATTTGATTGATGAGTCAGAAATTCCGTTAAATTTCCTTTTTTAAAATATACTGCTTTTTGGTTTTGCAGTAATATCTTAAAACTTTTTCATTTACTTCACGGTTGCTCAATCCAAATGCTCAGTGCCAGTCCCTATCAAAGTATATCAACCATAAAAAATTTTAAGTAGCACATGACTTGCATACTATAGTAAATATTTTGAAATTTATACGTTTTTGTTAGTAACAAAAATGAAAAACTCTTTATAATACTGAATCTGATAAAATGTCATTCCTGTCATCATGAGAATACTAAAAAATACAGATAACAACAGTGTAAGTTTAACTACTTTCTTAAGATATAATTTACATGCAATAAATTGTGCATGTTTGAAGTGTATAACTTTATGCATTTTAACATACACACACACACACACACACACACACACACACACACACACACACACATATATGCTTATACCATCAAACTATGGGTTATTTCTATCCCCCTGGTCAGCCTCCCTGCCCTACCAGCTTCCAACACCCAAATTATGGGACATTTATATCTCCTCTCATCAGGCCTCCCTGCCCTGCTCCCAGCCTCCATCACCCAAGCTGTGGGACATTTCTATGTCCCCTCTGCAGGCCTCTCTGCCCCATTTCAGCCTCCATCACCACCGCCCCCCTTCCCTAGAATTCTTAATAATGCAACCACACCCTACATACTTTTGTTTGTTTAGCTTATGTTTGGCTTCCTTTTAAATGATTTTTTCCCTCTAATACAGTGTTTTAACCCTGCACTTTCTCTTCTACCACTCTTAAATCTACTACAAATTATTATTTAGTACAACTCTTTCCAAGTATCCACTCCAGTGACTCTAGAATTCTTGGAAGTGGAGCTGCTATCAAAGAATGACTGCCAATTGAAATCCTTCCAGTCATTTAAGGATTCATGATCTTTCCTTCCCCTTGAACCCTGGAAGATTACTTGAGGATGCTTGCTAGAAAAAAGAACGACACAAAGAGGAAATACTCTGCAACCAAGTAAAATAGCACCACCCCAACAACTGGCTCAATTCTATAGAAAATCAGCAGGCTGCAAGAACGTCTAATGACAAGAACTAATTCATTTTAGCAAATAGTATGAGAACTGTAAGCTAGAATCTTAAGTACTAAAGTGATGGCACATGGGAAAAAATTTTAAGCACACATGGTACACTGGCTCAGAGACCATCTGTGGGACAAAATCACAAGTCAATACATACAAGAGGACTGAGATAGAACTGAATACATTCTGTGAACACAATAGAATTAAATAACAAATAAATGATCAGACATTAAGAAAATCCCCTAATATTTGGAAAATAAACAATATCCTTTCAAGTAAATGAGAGGTGAAAGAAGAAATCATAAAGAAATTAGAAACATTTTAAACTAAATGATAATGAAAGTGCAGTCTATAAAAATCTGTGTGATACAGCCTATGTAATACTCAGGAGATCTATAGCTCTAACCGTTTCTGCCAGAAAAGACAAAGGTATAAAATCAAGTCTAAAATTCTTTAAAAAGTTAAGCAAGAAAATCAAACACAAACTAAGTAGAATGAAGAAAATAAAGATAACAGAAATCAATAACACTGAAAATAAACAGACAATAATCAATCAAACCAAAAGCAAGTTCTTTGAAACAATCACTAAAATTGATGAATTTCGCCCTTGCTAGTTTGGCTCAATGGATAGAGTTTGAAGGGTTCCAGGTTTGATTTCGGCTCAGAGCATATGCCAGTAGGGGGCATGCAAGAGGTAGCCAATCTACTATTCTCTTTCATCATTGATGTTTCTATCTCTCTCTCCCTCTTCCTTCCTCTCTAAAATCAATAAAATATATTAAAAAATAAAAAATAAATAAAATTGATAAACTTCTGGCCAAACTGACCAAGAAAAAAGAGATGTAAATTACCAATATTGAGAATGAACAAGGTCTTGAGACCAACAACTACCCTGTTTCCCCGAAAATAAGACAGTGTCTTATATTAATTTTTGCTCCCAAAGTTGCACTAGGTCTTATTTTCAGGGGATGTCTTATCTTTCCATGTGCTAGGTCTTATTTTTGGAGGATGTCTTATTTTCGGGGAAACACGGTACTAAAACCAATAATCAAATATTATATGATTATGCCATTAAATTTGTCAACTTATATGAAACAAATAAATTCATTAAAAAATACAAACTTCCAATAAACAAAAAATTTGATAAACTCTATTATCTAATTCAGAAATTAAATACTTTCCCACAAAGTATGCTCCAAGTCCAAAGAGTTTCAAGGGTAAATTTGTTCAATATTTTAAAAAGAAATAACAACACTCTTATACAAGTACTTCAAAAGAATACTGGAAGCAAAAAAACTTCCTAACTCATTTAATGAGGCCAGCATACCCCTAGATATCGAAGCAAAAACATTACAACAAATGCAACACAGACAAATATCCCTCATGAACATAGACATAAAAAAAATCCTTCATAAAATATAAGCAAATCAAATACTGCACTATATGAAAAAGACACTGAGAATGATCAAATGAATTTCAATGGAGGGACCACCTAATGTATAGGCAACTGAAAACACCCACCGAATAAACTATTCCTGAGTCTTAAACATGTGAACTTAACAGTCCAGGACATAGGGGAATGAAGAAGGCTCATGCTGCACATTGGGATGAACTGTTAACTGGATGTGGCACAAGTAGATTTTTCCACACAAAGCCAACCAACCCAAGGAAAGGAACCAAATCCATGGTATCCAATTCTCTCCCTTCAGAGCAGGCCTTGCAAAATCATTTTGTCTGGCTCCACCAAGGCATTAGGAGTGAGTTCATTAAATGTTTGACCAAATATAGCAGGCTAACTTTTAAGTCGATAATTTTCTATGGCCTGAGAATGATGTTATAAATATCCAAACAGCCCTTGGAAGAAAAAAGTTTCCTCACTCCTACCTGAGATTCTCAATCTTTCTTCATTGTCCATTGAATATCAGCACATCATATAAAATGAAACTTCTCTCAATCAGATAAATACTACAAATAACACAAAGTAAGCACCAAATGGCCACAACTGTGTTTTTATTTTTTTAATTGATATTTTTAGAAAGAATGGGGGGAGAGAGGAGGAGGAAGGAGGGAGGGAGGAAGGAGGGGAAAGAAAAAGAAGACACACACACACACACACACACACACACACACCAGGGGCCAAACCCGAAACTGGGGTATTAATATATGTCCTAACCAGGAATCTAACCAGCCACCTTTCGGTATAATGGATGATGCTCCAACCAATTGAGCTGCACTGGCCAGGGCACCAAAACTGTGATTTTATTTTTGCAGACCTACTGAAACCCTACAAAGCTTTCCATTTCAAAGATTACTGGATGGAGAGGGTTTAAAAATAAAAACAAAAAGAGTGATAAAGAAAAAAAACCTCAGTGTCAAGTCAGTAGGAACATTCAAAACTATACCTCAACAGGTTATGTGCTAAGATACCACAGAAATTATTTTGGCTTAGTTTTCAATGATCCTTCATTAGCAGTAAATATTGTTGTTTAAAATTATTGATGCATTTGATACATTAGTTGGTACAAACAGAAATTTACTAAACATAAATGATGGGGTACTGCGGGGATGCTCACCCCCAGGGCTGGCAGCCTCTGTGTGCAGCTTACGGCCACTCTCAGCTTCCAGTCAGTTTCGCCATCTAGTTGATCCGTTCGAATAAAACATGAACCTTGGAATTAGAAAAGAAAATTTCTGAGATACAGATACTTTAAAAACTAAAATTCCACAACACAGTCAGATCCAAAACAATATACATAGAAATTCTTTATCAGATTCACAAAAGGAGTTTGCTGAAAAGATACAGGTGATTAACTATTTGATCCTTATCTCCTATTTGATATTCTTGGCTTATTAAGGTTTAAGATTAATTGCACTTTATTTTAGAAAGACCACACTGATCATTTCTACCTTAGGTTCATGTTCTGATAACTAAACATTAAGTAAATACTCAAAAATATCCAAGAATGTGTGATTTGACTTTGATAATAAAATGTCTGAGGTACCATCAGAAAACACACGCTCCTCATCATAAAGGCACAGTTAAAATGCCAAAACCCTGGCCAGACCTACCATCATACTGATAACCCTATCAAATCTTAAACATAAAAAATATTAAATTTCAACAATCCATTTACCCTTTGACCATGCTATCACACCATTTCTCAGAATCCACCCTAAGACAGACCATTTGTGTGCACAGAATAACAATCATGTAGTTACTGAGAACAGTAGTTCTCAAATTTAGAGAACTACTTAAGGTAGAGAAATAAGAACATATCTTCACATAGCTTCGTTCCCTACACCTTAACACACATTCTAAAACTAACATGGAACTGTGCCAACTCCAGCCATACCAGCTTTGTGTTCACTTGAACTGCAGAAGGGCCCCTGCACACCATGGGCATTCTCTGCTCTCTCACGCAGCAAAAATACTAGACGCCAGCCAATGCTCTTTCTGCTAATCACGACTACCAGCAATTCAGTGCCCCTTGAGATCCCTGCACCATTAATTTTTACCCTTTAACTACCCTATGCCAGGGGCATCACCATTGCCAGCATGAATCCCAGAGAGCCACAGAGAACAGCTTACTTCCTCAGACACAACAGGATTGATTTTCCAATTGCCCAGTTTATCAACTGAAGATATACTAGTATCTACAAAACCATTATCTGAATATTTGCATGATTATCTCAGAGCCTGTGTGTGTGATCTGATATAAAACATAAAAATATAGTGAAAGGGACTATATTCCAGAATCTGACTGATACTTTGAAATGTCAGTGCCAGAGTTCAGCTCCAGGTTTTTCCCCCCTAATACATAAAATAAGAAAAAGTGCGACTCTGTACAGTTTCTTAAATTTTAAACATTCTGTGTTTCTAAAGGTGAAAGCTTTTCTAGCTAGATTGCTATAACTTATGAAACACTGGAAATAATACAGTTGATTTTCTTTGCTTCATGTTAAATAATTATGTGCTATCTTAAAATTTTACAGGAAATTGACATTTATTTTCAGTTACAGTTAACTTTACTAATACTGAAGTAACTGATATGATTTAAAGAAGGAGCTGCAGAAGTATGACCAACTGGACTTGTCTTACGTGATCTGTATCTACTAATTTTTTTAACAGCAAGCATAAGCTTCAACTGATGCCAGTTAAGGTTCAGCAAAAATCAATTATTAAATTAGTCTGCTTATATCCTATTGCAGTCTTATTATGAATGCTTGATTTTATTTCGTATAATTGACAAGACTTGACAGGAAAGGACAGGTCTAATGACAATAAAATTGAGATCTACCAGTATATGTGTCACATAGGAGAGCCACACCAGGTGGTGACAAAGGAACTGCTGCGACACAGTGAGAAGCAGTACAAATATGTAATATTCTGTACAAGTCACCCTGTAATATCAGCAAACTACCTGCAACAATTCATGAATCCAATAGCTCTGAAAGAAATGGGCTACAGTATGTGCCCAACAAAAGAAAAATAGACATTGACTTTGCATATATAATAGCAGATCGTTTGCCATCAAACTTAATTTCTAAATCATTTATATGACTTAATGACTCTGCATGAAATTTTTAAGCTGGTGGCAAGATGAATAGCACCACCGAGAGAACATGGATGAGTACAGTGTCATTTACCTACCCCTCACCCACAACAAGTGACAGCTGAGCTATTGTAATATGTCCCCAGCACTTAAACTATAATGTCATCACTTAGGAGACAAGTGAAAAAGATATTGGCATTTATAAGAGATTGATGAAAATTAGTTCTCAAGCATTAATTTCTCTTAATACCACTAAAAGAACTGTGTGCATTCAGGAGATATTTGATCTGAATTAAGAAACGGATGAAGCAATTGATTAATTGGAATTTAAGCCATCAGTCACCAGATCCATCAACAGCTTCATTTACATTCTAAACAATCAGCTGACGGCCCAATAGAATACCCTGTATTAATACACAGTCAATATGATGCCACGAAGAGACTTGCGGAGCTGTATTGACAAACGCCCCATGGCTATTGTCCAGGCTTGAAGAGCTGCATAGATTTAGGACTTTCATGTTGGCTTGGGCTTAAAGATTTCTATTATAACAGACAATGTATTATCAGGTTTTTCTGAACAAAAACTGAAAAGTAATAAAATAATATTAGCAGTAATAGTACACACACACAAAATTCTAAATATGTATACTTTTGAAAATTAGGCAATCAAGACACTCAAAACAATTACTTAGAGTCATATAAACAGGATTCCAAAAGCTAAAAATCCTTTACTGAAAGCAAGTTTTATGCAAATTCTATATAGCAGGGAAGCTTTTGGTCCATTTTACAAAGTAAAGAAAACTAGCCTGAAACAGATATCTGACATTTGAAAGTTTGCATATGAGTAATTAGTAATTATTTTCGTAATGTGAGATTAAGAAAGAATAAAACATGGGCTAAAACAAGTAAAGTCCATTAATAACCTTCCAAAAATGTATAAAACAATAAAAAATTAGCATACATGTATATTATGTATGTTTTTGTGGGGCACAAGGAAATAATTCTTAAGATTCTCAAAGAGTCTAGCTGGCTTGGCTCAGTGGATAGAGCATCGGCCTGAAGGGTCATAGGTTTGATTCCAGCCCAGTGCACATGCCTGGGTTGTGAGCTTGATCCCCAGTAGAGGGCGTGCAGGAGGCAGTCGATCAATGATTCCCATTATTGATATTTCTCTCTCTCCTTCTTCCTTCCTCTCTGAAACCAATAATTAGAAGGAAAAAAAAAGATACTCAAAAAGATCCTTTACCTCCAAAATATTAAGTATTCTTACACTATACAGTAACTGTCCCTATCCCATGAAATATAACACAAAAATAAAGAAAAATAAAAGAAGACTCTTTGAAACATCACCCATTTGGACAGAATGCTATTAATCTGGAATTAACACAGTGGAGTATCTCACTTGCCCAATGAGCTATTTCTATTTGTCTTGCTGTGTTACTACTGTATAACAATGACATGGTAAAAAGATTATTAAGATGCTTAAGAAAAATTTTCAAAACTGCTATTAGTCATATAATCTTGTCAAAGAATTTATGTTCTCCCTCAGATTCCTTCTCTGAAAAATGGACATTTCTATTTTCCAGTTATAAAATGCTGAATTTTCTTCATTTTTATCTCCTAACACAATCTATATTATGTACTTCTCTTAAGTTGATCATCTAAAACAATTTCCATATTTTGGATAATATTTTTAATCTTACATATAATTCCAACAAAATAATTAAAAGAACAATTAATAAAAAAGCATCTTCCAAATGGAAATATTTTGTTCTTCATTATAATGAATATATTTAGAAAAAAAACACAAATCATAAATAGGTGATATTAGCAGGGATGGTAGTGTAAAAAAAATCTCTGAAAATCCATTTCTCTACAACTATATGAGAACATGAGCAAAAACTGTTAAAAGTAACTTATTCAGAACTCTGGAATAGAATTTAAAAAACCGCAACAATCTCAGTTGCATTTATTCAAGAAACACAAGTAAATCTAGCTAAGAGTGAGCTGTGTTTTGACTTGCCCTGTTCCCAACACTCTGCCCTACCCCATTGCTCCACAGTACTGAGAAAACCAATAGTCTAGCAGCCACTGAGTGGCCCAAACCCAACTCGGGGCTCCCTAAACCCCATGGCCAGAACACTGTGACCACCTAACAGGAATTGACCTAATGCAAAGGTAATTCATTAAAAACAGTGTTTTCCCTGGGATGTTTGAGGGAAAAAAAGCAAACAATCAGTGGCAACTGTTTAAATATCATTCCTGCCTCAGGTGGTCATAAAACTGGGATAATAAGCCGAACAAAAGTCTTTTTTTAAAAGTTAGAAAATCAGCCGAGACCGGTTTGGCTCAATGGATAGAGCGTCGGCTTGGGGACTGAAGGGACTCGGGTTCGATTCCGGTCAAGGGCATGTACCTTGGTTGCGGGCATATCCCCAGTAGGGGGTGTGCAGGAGGCAGCTGATTGATGACTCTCTCTCATCGATGTTTCTAAACTCTCTATCTCTCTCCCTTCCTCTCTGTACAAAATCAATAAAATATATTTTTAAAAAAAAAAGTTAGAAAATCAGATGATGGAAAGGGGCTTTGAAAAGCTCTAACACATTCCTGGGAGCCTAGAAGGCCATCTGCCTGCATGCCCGGAAAGCCTAAGAGGCCCTCATCTCTCATGGCTGAGCTGGAGGCTCTATAAAAAACAAGAATGAAGGGAAGTGCAATGCTGTGACCTGCCTGCTACAGCACTGCAAGTGTTAAGAGAACACTAGCTATTTTACAAGATAAACCTTGAACATGGGAACTTGAAGAATATTTCTCTCGCACCGAGTCCATCTGGTAATGGAAGGAGGGTGGGCTCTGTTCCACATTCAGGAACCTACGCTGAGGAATGCTCTGCCGTCTCAACAGGCAGCTTCTAAGGTTATCCTAGTCATGCACTATTGTGGGCTCAGGCGCGCAGGGAGGAGAAGAGCAGGTGGCTACAAGAGGTAAAAGGTAAGGCCAACCATCAGGGCATGATGCCACCTACCTGGACAGGAAAAGGAATCCAGCTGTATTTCCAAGAGGAAAGGAAAATTGACTGGAAATGTAGCTTTCTAGTCTCTACTCCATTGGGAAAACAAAACCTCCCATTAAGTCTCACACAATAAAGTAAATATGCCAAGTGTGAGGAGTTTGCTTGATTGTAGGTGTAGCTGAGCTATTAATGGCAGCCTCACCTTGCAATATGAGTAACATAGTTACAGTTGATAAAAGGAGAAAAAATTTTCCTTTCTCATGACTTAAAATGACACTTAAAAAAAATGCTGTTTGTAAATGGAAAAAATGAAATCAGCAACTATAAAATGTAACTATGTCCTTTCTAGAGTTTTTGTGCTGCATAGAATAATACCTGTGCTAAGCTTACAAAAAAAAATAATAATATGCTCAGCTTCCTATAAAAATATTGTTCATTTATTCAACAAAGTAAGAGATGTAAGGCAGAAAGAACTTTGGATAGTAGTTGATAAACTTCCCCTGACTTTACAGATGATGAAAATGTATTTTCCTCGTGGCTAGGTCATATAATTTGAAACCGACCAAAGCAGACTATATTTTAGGTTTCCTGATTCCCAACAACAGTTTTCTTGACCATATGAGGCTTCCATATTATTACCTCTCAGTACCCCTTTTCCATCCTTCTAACTTGAAAGGTTAGGCCATGCAAATATCTTTTCTTTTTTTTCTTTTTTTTTTAATGGGAAGCCCACTTCAACTCAGCTAGGCAAATGGTCTGGTCTCTCTCAACTCCATCTCCCCATATGTCTTTTCACTCTTACAGTATCTACACAAAACAGAGAATTACTAATGTCAATGTGTATACTGCCAAAAATACACAGATCATGAGTTCTAAGAAGAGCAATTTGGTTTTGCTCTCTTTTATATCATAAGCACCACATAGTGCCTGGAATATAGTAAGTGGTAAGTAAATGTTTGCTGAATTAATTAATAAAATTGCAAATGCAGAACAGCAATAAAATTTCCAATAACATCATCTAATTATTTAGATACCAATATGGATATGAATGATAGCACTTATTTGATATATAGATTATATTTTTTAAAGATATTATACAGTAAATCATTGTGTTAAATATCAACAGTTAAATGTAATTTAGAAATTAATGAGTTAAATCATTTATTATTCAAAGAAAAATTGTTATATTTTTCCTTATAAATTGGAAATTAAACTGCCAAAATACCAAATCATCTACAATGTAAATAAAAATACCTGCTTTTTCTGAAGTTCTAAGAAATACCATGTCCGATGGAATTCTTTGATTCTGTAAAGAGTAATATAAAATGTTAATTATCTATATGCAATTTATAAATTAACACAACTCCATTCCAAAACAGAAATAGCTAGTAAAATAATGAAAAAGGTTAAATTAAAATTTATGTTGAAGCAATTCACATTTAAAATTTGTACTTAAAAAGTGAATATTTTGATTCATATTTTAGTTGGACTTTTAAGATTTCCCCCCATTAATGTACCATGTAAATGGTATTAGTGATGGCTTGAAAACTGCTCCATTTCTGAGAAATGTTAAACATTGCCATTTCTGTGGCCTCTGTTGTACTTTAACTCATAATACAGAAGTTATTACCTTATAAAAAAATTATATCTTCCCTATTAGAGTAAATGACCCAAGAAAGTGGGGATAACATTCTTACAATGCCTCATACAAAACGGAACATATCATAAATAAAACACTTAATAGATTTTAAATCAGTGGTTCTCAACCTTTCTAAAGCTGCGACCCTTTAATACAGTTCCTCATGTTGTGGTTACCCCCAACCATAAAATTATTTTCGTTGCTACTTCATAACTGTAAGTTTATAGAGCCTAAGAGCACTGGAAAACAGGGATTTACATCATGATTCATTAACAGTAGGAAAATTACAGTTATGAAGTAGCAGCGAAAATAATTTTATGGTTGGGGGTCACCACAACATGAGGAACTGTATTAAAGGGTCAGGGCATTAAAAAGGTTGAGAACCACTGTTTTAAATGAATGAATGTAAAACTGAATAAACGAAAATAAATTCCACAAATTTGAAGAGGTGTTCTTTTATAAAGTAGAAAAGGAAAAATAACTGGAACGTATTGTATGGCACATAAAAACTTTTATAAATTACTAATCATACATTTAATCATTATTACTAATAACTCAATAAAGCTAAAGAAAAATTATAAGAATATGTCTCATAATTTCATGAATTATTTATATTTTTTGAGACCTCATAAAGATTTTCCTACACGATATATAAAATGGATTATTTGTCAGTCATCAGGCAATAAAAATAAATAAAAGTTGTTAAAACAGAAAATAAATATGTTGTAGGATAGAGCTACCTCTTTCTAACATGAAGAAAGAAGGGCAATTATTAATATCAAAAGAGCTTCTAGGTCAAGGAAGAAATCACAATGGAAATTAGAAAATATTTTAAATTGAAGAGTAATAAAATCTCAACACATCAAAACATGTGGAACAAACCCAAAGTCAGGAAAGTATGAAGAGGAAAATGTATACAAGTAAAAGCACACAATAAAACAGAGATGTTAAAAACACAGGGTCAAAGAGCTAAATGTCCATTTGAAAGCAGAAAAACAAACAAACAAACAAACAAACAAAAAACAGCCAATGAGCCACAGAGAAAGTACAAGGATGTAAACAAATATAGGAATAAAAATTAATGTCACAGAAAACAAATATATGTATATAAACATACAAACATATATTCTTATATATCAGTAACAAATAGCAAAAAAATAAATATTTTTCAAATATTCCCATTTCAGTACTAAGAAAAAAACTAATAAAAATAAACTAATAAAAGATTGGCGAGTTCTATTAAAAAAAAAAACACCTATTAAATATTACTAAAATTAAATAAAACCTAATAAAAATACAATGTATCAGGTTTCAAAACTAGAATGTATAGTATTGCAAAGATGCCAAGTGTTAATAAATTGACCTATATATTCAACACAAACCCAACCAATATCTTGCCATGTTTTTTGGTGGGAATTAACAAGGTATTGCTAATATTTACAGGAAATGCAAAAGAACAACCAAGACAAATGTCAGAAACATAGAGTTGATTTTATAATATAGCAAAACAAAAATACTAAAGTAGAATCATGAGATCAAGGTAGCATTTAACAGAGAGATAATTACACCAATGTAAAGTGCAGGCTCCAGAAGGAATCCCAAAATGGAAAGACTCCATATTTAGGAGGAAGATAAAACTGTAGACCTATTAGGGCATGATGGTCTTTTCAAGAAATAGTGTTAAGAAAATTAGACTCACAGGGAGGAAGAATACCCGATCTCTACTTCAATCAAGACACAATCAATTCCAGATGAATTATATTTCTCAATGTCAAAGTCCAAACAATAAGACTCCTAAACAATAATATAGAGGAATATTTTTACAACACTTTGGAAAGGAAGAAGACTCCTTCCCTATCACCAAAATGTTTTTTACAAAACGACACATCTATAAATGCAAAAATTAATGAAGTAGATTTCATTAAAATTAAGGATTTTTTTTTCAACAAAGCACACCAGGAAGGAAAAGATATTTGCAACATAAAGAACTCACATCCAGAATACATAAAGACCATAAAGGGATGAGAAAAGAAGGGCTAACTCAGAAGGAAAATGGCTGATCAGTTGATCTCTTCCTTCCAGTCAAGAAACTCATATGTGTATATGCATAACCCAAGGACAAAGACAATGGGTGGTGAAGGCTTGGAGGGTTGGAGGAAGGAAGAGAGGGCAAGTGGGGGGAGGAAAGATATATAATACTTTCAACAATAAAGATTTATATATATATATAAAGAGAGAGAGAGAGAGAGAGAGAGAGAGAGAGAGAGAGAGAGAGAGAGAAGGGGGGGGAGAGAAGGAAAATGGCAAAAGATGTTAACAGGCTCTTTCCAAATAAGAAAGACATCCACAATCACACAAGAAGGTGTCCAACTTTATTAGTCTTCAAAGAAATGCACATTAAAACCACAACTGCTAGATACATATTGGAAATGCTAAATTAAAAAGATGATGCCAAGTGTTGGTAAACATGTAGAGCAATGGGAAGTCTTACACATCGCTGATTCCAGTATAATTTGAAACATCACTTTGCAAACCATTTGCAGTACTAAATGTGGAACATACGCATACCCCAACATCCAACAATTCCAGCTCAGACACAAATGCAGCAGCACAGGTGAGCCCAGGCATGGCACCACAGAAACGAAAGTCCCAATAGGGAAAACTTAAAAGCAACTGAAATAGTCATCATCAGCAGAATGGTCAAAAGGCATACAATGTAACAACAAAGCAAATGAATTATAGTTACACACAGCAAAATGGAAGAATCTCATTAATTATACCAGGCAAAAAAAAAAAAAAAAAGCACCTATCCAATCATACCCCAATTCCATTGAATATTTTTAATTTCTGGACTCTCAACTCTGAATTTATACCAGGCCCTCACTGTCTTGATTACCATAACTTTGCATAAGGTTTTGAAATGAAAGGCATTACTACTCAAATTTTGTTCAATTTTTAAAAATTATATTGGCTAGTCTGGGAACTTTGCATTTCCATATAAATTTAAGAATCAGCTTGTCAATTTCTGCAAAGAAGTCAGCTGAAAAGTTGAGAGGGATAGCCTGAACCTATAGGTCAATTTAGGGAGTGTTGCCATTTAACAATATTAATACTTCTAATCCACAAACATGGGATGTCTTTCCATGTGCTTAGATCTATTAATATGCTTCCACAATTTTTATAGCTTTCAAATATGTTTTGTAATTCATTTATTCCTGAAAAATGATTTTATTTTACTTATAAGTATTTTATTTTTTATGCTACTGTTAATGAAATTCTTTAATTGTATCTCCAAACCATTACTCTTTATTACCTTATCATGTTTCATTTTCTATGAGTCACTCATAAATAAACTTGATAACTCCAAATACTTATTAGATACTTTTTATCTTTCCCTCCCCTCAAGACTATGAGCACCAAGAGAGTAGGACCTCTACCTCCTTCACTCGATGTAGGATGAACTGATGGACAACAGTTTCTCTAATCGTCCCCAGTCAGGATATCTGGGCTGTTTCAGGTTTTTTGCTATTATGAATAATGAAGGTATAAACATTTATGGATAGGCTTTTGTGCCAACTTAAGTTAACATTTCTCTGTGATAAAGGTTCAACAGTTCAATTGCTGGGTTACATAATATTTGCATATTTAGCTTCTTAAGAGACTTAATGATTTTTCAGAATAACTATAACATCTGATATTCCTACAGGAAATATACAAGTAATCCACTTTTCACATAATTGTAGTTTTTGTTGCTGGCACCATTTTTCACTGCAGCCATTCTGCTACATGTGTAGTGATAGTTCATTGCTTTAATTTATAGTCCTAGGTGATCAATGACACAGTATCTTCTCATGTACTTATTTTCTACCTATGTATCTTCTTTGGTGAATTTCTCTTTATATTTTTTGTTCATTTTCTAATTTGATTTTTTTTTTAACCAGTTGGCTTTTAACGGCTTTTACATAATCTAGGTACAAATCCTTGTCAGATGTGGTGTACAAATATTTTCTCCTAGTTTGTAGGTTGTTTTTTCATCATATTGACATGTGTTTTCACTAAGCACAGTTTTTCATTTTAATGAGATGCAATTTATCAATGTTTTTATCTTTGATGCATTGTGCTTTTGATGTCCAGTCTAAGAGCTACTTTCCTGCCATGGATTCTGAATATTTTTCCTGTTTTTCTAAATTTTTACAGTTCTAGTTTACATTGAAATCCATGATCCATTTTGACTTAACATTGATATAAAGTGTGACACTTAAGGGTAAGGTTCTTTTTTATCCACAGATGCCCAATCGGCTCCAGCCTCATTGTCCAGGAGGGCGGCTTTTCTCTACTTTCGCTGCTTTGCACTCTGTCAACACCGTTGAGCACACCTGGGTGAGTCTATTTCTGGGTTCTAATGTTTCATTAATCTTGGTTCTCTCCTTCCACATCATGCTATTAATGTGTCTAGGTAGGAAGCCTTAACTTTGGGAAGAGTGGTTCTTCTCTCTTTACTCTCCTTGCCAAGACTATTTTAGCCACTTTAGGGCCTGGAACTTGCCAAATTAGTTTTAGAAATAAGCTTATTTTGTTTAAAAAGCAAGCAAACAAAACCTTGTTAAGATTTTGATAGGAAGTGTATTACCGTAAAAGTACAGATCAATTTTGGGGAAGCTGTGGAATGTTACAGTCCAAGATTATAATGTACCTCTTTACTCAGACCTTTGATCACTCTCCTGAACATACATTATCTCCAGCATAGCTAAGATTGTGTTTTCACAGAAGTGACTAAGAGCACTGCACTTTTAGTTTCAGTTTCCACGTGTTCATTATCAGAATATAAAAATGGCACTGGCATTTGAATGTGCATCTTATAATTTGCCACCTTACTGAACTTTCTTTAGTTCTGAGAGGTTGTTTTTTTTTTTAATAGATCACATGGGATTTTCTTCATATACAATCTGTTATCAGTAAATAGGGGCACTTTTACTTCTTCCCTTCCAATCTGAATTCCTTCTGTTACCTTTACTTGCCTTATTCAGTGGCTAGAAATGCGAGCTGAGTAAGCGTGATAGGAGCAAACACCTGCCCTGTGCCCAGTCTCAGAAGAAAGGCATCTGACATGCACTGAGGGTGATGCCAGCTAGAGGCTTTTACAGATGATTTTTATAAGAATAAAGTAATTCCCTCCATTCCTATCATGGATGGTACTGAAAATAAGAGAGGATTCACAGATTTTACCCCAGTTTTCAACCCCACAACACAAGGCAGACTTTTAAAAGTGAAAAGAAAACTGAAGGCGATGGGACCAGGTCTCACAGCCAGGAATCCATGCAGCCAGCCCTCTGTCACCTGCTCCCTGGCAGCTGGCTATGAGCTGCCCTGTAGAGAGGTCCATCTGGCTAGAAATGGGAAAGGCCTCGAACCAAAGTCCCTGGAACTGAGGTCCTAAGTCCAACACAATACCAAGTTCTGCCAATAGGCCCAGTGGGCCCTGAAGGTGACAGTCACCTGATGGATCCTTGACTGTAGCCTTGAGAGGGACCTGGAACCAGAAGACCTAGCTAAGCTGCACCCAGATTCCTGACCACAAAAACTATGAGGCAATGTTGATGTTTTAAAGAACTGCATCAAGATTTATATGACTACCATTTGTCTTACAGAAATGTGCAAAGATATAAAGTACAAGAATGTTCACCGTAGCACTTACAGTAGGAACCACCTGAAAATCTAAGAAAGGATAAAAAATCAGTGACTTATAGCATCCATATAAAATGAATACTATGTAAATAAGCTGCAAATCAGTCTGTTTAATTTCATCTAGTTTTGTCAAATCAAACACACCCCGATCATTCTCAGTACAGATTAATGTAGCAGTGTCTTGAGGAGGATGAGTTATCTTGCACAGATGGCTCAGACCGCTCTGCTCCTATGTGGCCTGCACGCTAACTGGCACTAAGGGCTCACACTACTGTGTAAGAGGCTTTTCAAAAACTTATTTAATATATTTTTAAAAGTGTTCCTGAGCCTTAATTTAAAAAATAAATAAATAAAATAAAATAAAAAGACTGCCCATTGAATCACTGTTCCTCAGGGAAGACTGTGAATGAGAAACAACTACCACCATGCACTCAGCCCACTGGGTTACACCCCAGTCCACCAGCAGCCCAGCGATTTCCTCCTCTGCCTAAACTTTTTCTTTCTAAACTCTTTTGCTTCCATTAACCTTTCCTTCTTTAAGTTTTATTAACCATAAGAATTCTTATTAACCATAAGAATTAATATCCAATAATTATGTGTAATACAGTAGGTCCTCGGGTTACGTCGGAGAGCCATTCCTACAGTGTGATGTAATGCATTTTCGCCGTAAGTAGGAATCCATCTACATAAGCACTTACATCACTCACATGGAGTACATACACAGCAGTAATAAAGTAAAACAGTAAAAAAAAAAATTTAAAAGAAAGATAACAATTCCTGACCTTTACTTGTGGTAAATAAATAATAAAAAAACATAAGGCACATGAATATATATGATGGAACTTTTTAAAAATAAATAAATGGGAGATGGCAACGTAACCATGGAATGACATACATCAAGTCTGACATAACCCGAGGGCTGCCTGTATATCTATCTGTAATTGGGAGTTCTAGAAGCTGAAATTTTTTGGTCACATGAAATAATACTGATAATGTAACATCAAGCAGTTGACACGTCTTATTTTAGACAAAATATGACGTCATCTATGCACACTGAAATGTACTTTAACAAAACAGACTATACAAAAAAATCTAGATGTTTCTTCATGTAGAGCAAATCTTACACAATGATGTTAAGATTGAAAATGAATGTCTCAATTTTCTTTATATTTGAAAGTTACTTGCAATCAGGCTAAATGTTAATAAGTGGTATAGACAAGTCTGAAATATATTGAAAATGCATCAACCTTTTCCACTATGATGAGGTCTCCAACTTGTATGTCTGAACTCTGAACTTGCACTTTACCTTGAAAAAAAGAAGAAGTATAATCAACTCAAGGAAACAATAGCACACCAGAGTTAAACTTGCAATTGATAAGCAATACTTTAGAAATAACTTTTGGGGGGGAAACTTTATATAATGTATCTCTACTTATACTTTCAAAATAAATATTTCAGATAGACACAGTCACTAAAAATTAACTTCTCTTAGTTAACTCCCAAGTACAATTTAACCACCCTCAATAAAAACCGTGTGGGAATGTGGGAGAGGATTCCATGTGGAAGGTTGCTACCCAATCTGCCATTATTTCAGGTGTGAGTCAAGATAGGATGATCAGAAATATCATTAAATAAAATAATGTGGTGTCAGAAATTGAGTCAGATGGAGATGTACAGTCCTTATTATACAACCTGGGAATGGCATTGACTGGCACATGACTAACAGAAAAGAAGCAACAGAGAAGATGAGAGAATATCACCCTTCACCAGAAGTTTTTACAGATACAGGTCAGGACCACAGATTCATTATGAAAAGTGGTTCTTCTCCATGCTATATTGTGCAAACAATACTTACATGATAGCTGGTGTGTGCTAATCATGTATAGCAGTTAATTTATAACATCTACATCACAATGTTCATATCACATAGAGTAGATAAAACATTATATAGGCATTTTGAAACACCAAGTTCTTTCACTTCCTATGTCTCTGGGCCCAGCCTCCCTATCTTCCTCCATCTCTGTTTCTCACTCCCCTCCCTGACTTGGCAGTCTCCTTCGCCCTGTCTGTTTCCCTTTTAGGACCAGCAACAACTTTTACTGTTTTAATATGAAGAAAGGTCCTTTTCTTTTACATTCAGTTTATTCTGAAAGCTAATAGAACAGAGGAAAAGTTCATATTGCATTTTCAAAACTAATATTACTGATCATTCCCCTGACTTTTAGACCACATTCAACTTATTTTAAAACCTTACTTCCTAAATACCTCTTCAAGCAGCTGAGTTTCAATAATACTAAACTAGTTCCTAATGATTTGTCTGAAGGATATCAATAAGCTTTGTAAATGTTGCTATATTTTTCATGTTCCTCAATTATATAATAAACACATAAGGCTGGAGCTATTTTTGGTGGGTGGAGCCTATTTGTATTCATACCATAAAATAGCAATGTTCTTTAGAATTACATATGTAACAAATCTTAAAATATCTCTACAAGTGATAAGTATATGTCTATTATTTGCCAAAAAATAGCCACAAAAGACTGTCTATTTAAATTATTTTTCCCTTGGTCCCTTCAAGCTACCTGTCTGTACTCCCACTGTTCTGTTTTTTACAGCTAAGCCCCAGGCAGTGAATATCCCTCAATGACCTCAGCAGAACCCCGAACCACGACCTATATTTCACTTTTCTTTTTATTCCTACTACACACTCCTCTTCCCCTTCCTTCTATTTCACACTCTCTGTAACAGACACAAAGAGGAGAGAGATGAACAGCTGCAGACATAAAAGATGCAATAAATGCAGGAAATATTTTTAAATATTTTAAAACATAGAAAACATATCCTTTTTGACTTCTTAATCAAGATTTTACATTCCTGGGAAACTTATTATTCCTTCACATAACATAAGCTATTTAAAAGAGATTTATACTCTGAAAAAACACACAAAACATTGCTGAGAAATATTTAAAAGACCTAAATAAAGGGAGAAATATATCTCCTTCATGGGTCAAAAGACTTAATATTATTATCAACTCTCCTCCAATTTATCTATAGATTCAAAGTAATCCCAATCAAAATCCCAGGTTTTTTCATGAAAATGGATTCTAAGTCATATGAAAATACAAATAACATACACTAGCCAAAACAACTGTGGAATTAAAAAACCATGTTGGAGGGTAAACAATCTCTGATTTCAAGAATTATTATAAAGCAATAGTAATCAAAAGAGCATGGAATTAGCATAAAGATAGGCAAATATATCAATGAGTGAATGGAGAAAAAACCCCACTCTTGAAGGACAACTTATTTTTGACAAAAGTATATGGCAATGCAGTGGGAAATAATTACTATTTCCCCAAATGGTGCTAGAAACAATGGGACATCCACATGCAAGAAAAGTACTCAGACCTGTACACTGCACTGATATAAAAATTTACACAAGATTGATATATAAATGTAAAGTCTGAAACTGAAGGGAAAAAAAAGAAGAAGAAACATAGGAGAAATATAACAGAAAATCTTTGAGTTGGGTAAATAGTTCTTAGGATACCACAAGCCTTCGTTTTTATTTTTTTAAAAAAAGATAAATTGGACTTAATCGACTAGAACAGAGGTCGGCAAAATGCGGCTCTCGAGCCACAGTTTGCCGCTCTATTGATTGAGTTTGCCAACCACTGGACTAGAACATCAAAGGGGCAAGAAAGTGCTAAAGTATAAGATCAATGGACTGGTGTCTGAAACAGCTGGAGGCAGGTACAAAGAGAAGAAGCTGTAAAGACAGGAAGAGACCCCGCCTCCAGGTCAAGTGGCCCCAAGGCTGTAGAGAAGCACAGCCACTGCAGAGGAAACAAGACCCTCAGAGATGAGCCATTCTCAGTAAGAAGTTTAGAAAGAAAAGGTGTGGATGAGGAAGGAACCTAAATCCTGAGCAGCAGTGAGAAGGGCAAGGGGCAGAGAGAGGATGTGCATAGTAATTACAATGCACAAGATGAACATTCGAGGCTCCCTAAGTTCAGTGATGAGTACACAGACCAAGTCACATGATACTAGTCCTGGGCAGCGACCAACCCTGCTGAAGCTGGGCAGCTGCACAGTCTTCTGCTTAATGTCACTCAGAGCTTAGGCCCTCTTTCCCAGGATGTGCTGGGGATAAAAGTGGGAATGAAATGGGTAAAATCATATCCTCATGCAGGAGAGAAAGAAAAAGAGAGAGAAAGAAAGAGAGAGAGGGAGGGCAGTTGAGGGGGACCAGGTCAGCAGGGGAGGGCAGTTAGGGGGGCAGGCTTTCAGGGTAGAGCAGTTGGGGGGGGGACCAGCCTTCAGTTGGGGGGGACTCAGGTCAAGTGGGACCCAGGTCAACTTCTTACTGAGAATGGCTCATCTCCGAGGGTCTTGTTTCCTCTGCAGTGGCTGTGCTTCTCTATAGCCTTGGGGCCACTTGACCTGGAGGAGAGTTGGGGGGGACCCAGGCCTGCAGGGGAAGGCAGTTGTGGGGATGAGGGGGGTGGGGAGGGGGACCCAGGCCTCCAAGGGAGGGCAGTTGGGGGGGACCCAGGCCTGCAGGAGAAGGCAGTTGCGCAGGGAGGGGGGGGGGGGGGACCAGGCCTGCAAGGGAGGGCAGTTGGGGGGGACCCAGGCCTGCAGGGGAAGGCAGTTGGGGGGAGGGGGGACCAGACCTGAAGGGGAGGGCAGTTGGGAGCCAGCAGTCCTGGATTGTGAGAGGCATGTCCCAGATTGGAGAGGGTGCAGGCTAGGCTGAGGAACACCCCGAAATTCGTGCACTGGGCCTCTAGTAATAATATATTACAGTATTTTAAGAAACATTTAAAGATAAAACAGTTATTCACTGGATCAGCTGTGCTAGCCAACCACTTCCCCTCTAGTCTCACTTGCTAAAACAGTCCACACCACTGTGTAATGACCAGCAGAGTCCAGAAACTGCCTGCAGAGGCTGCCCACAGAGGCTACGCACACAGACTCTGTTACCTACCAATGTGATATGCAGAACTAAATACTAAAATAAGTACCAGTAGCAATCCACTGCATTCACCAGATAAATATTTGGTAGAAAAGTATACAATTTGAAAAATTTAATATGTACCTCAAGATAAACTGTTTTATCAATTAATAGGTACAAATAAACATTATATGGTATTAGACAATAGAGACACCCTTCAAGTCTTGATCAAGCGCACCACTATCTATCTAAGGGAAGTTGGTAATGTCTGTTTTCTGCAGCTAGACAGGCCTCTTAAATATCTACCAAAAGTAAGGACTGTTAATATAAATGGCTCTAAGACTCTCAGCGACTAAAATCAGAAGATGCAGTGGTCTCCCTCTCTCATGGGCTTATAAATGCACACTTCCACAATGTCCTCCTACATGAGTCTGTGTGGTTATACCAGCATCGAGAGGAATACGAGCCAGCCTTAGTTTGAAATTGTCCGTAGTTCCTATTTCCTCTATGTTCAATAATCTATACGGTGATGGCTTCCTTCTCAATTACTCCTGAGTGTGGAGATTGGTATGCGCCCTGGTGGGAGGAGAAAATCAATAGATGGAGACAGCAGGACTGTGTCAGGCTCCTGCTAAGGTTTCCATGTCATTGGTCGAACACAGGAGCAGGAAGAAGATGTCCAAATAATCTTATATTTATAGTGTCTCATGTTACTCAAAGAAAATAAGAAAAAAAATGAAAGAGAAAAATAACCACTGAAGGAAGGAGCTAAGAAGGGAGGAGAGAATTCCCAAGCTACTAGAATGTTCCATGAAGGAACATTTCTTAAAACTGGCATGGAGATCTGGAAGAATCAGTAAAGCAGAACAGAAAGCAGAGGAAAGGGCCCAAATGAATCTACGTATTTCTCAAAGGTCTGATAAAAGAACTTAATAATTGGTTTTAAAACAACTTAACTGACCATTTGGGAAAAAAGAAAAGTTAGACCCAATCCCAATGTAATACATACTTTAAATATAAAATTGCAACATTGTTAGAAAATAAAAATATCTACACTATATTGGGGTTAAAAGAACTATCTACAGTTAAAATTAAAAAAAATTAAAAAAGGTTTGCTTCCATAAAAATTATAAATTTACCTACATCTAAAACAGATATTAAAAATTAATCAAACAAGATAAATATATTTTTCATATTATAAACTTCTCTTATAAAGAAATTATAACAAGGCAAAAAAGTGGAAATGGTAAAAATGAATAAACTTGTATAAAATATTAAAAATAAACAATGAAATGCTAAAAGGTAAGCAAAATGAGAACCTTTTTCACCTATCAAGCTGGTGGGTTAAAGAGCATTCTATCTCAAGTGGGCCAGGACAGCAGGTGAGGGGTGCATGAGTCAGGTGACCCACATGGGCTTGCCGTACATCTGTTGTAGTCTTACTGGCAGCTCACTGACAATATCTATTAGGATGAAAACTTTTCATATCTGACCTGGAAGTTCCTCATTTACTTAATATTGCACTTACTGAGTGCCTACATGTGCCAATTACTCTGCTTAGCCTTGAGGAAACAGCAATTGTGCACACGGAGCTGAGATACCAATGACCGACAGCATGATCAAAGCAACACCAGTCACCAAAAGGAAATACCAGATGCTACCAGACATACACACACAGCCCTTACATGTGTGAGAAGAGGCTCTGTGTTAGTGAGCAAGTGATTTTAATCATATTTCAGGTGTTCCAGACCCTCATCCCCAAACAATGTAATAAAAACCAATGTATGAGTATCATGAAGAAATTAATTCATAGATTATCTTAGGGTGAGCTGGAAAAACATACTGGTCATGTGGTAATGGGTATATACATCTACTCCTGCATACATGTACCTAGTCCTGAGTATACATATCCGGTCCTAAACAAATTAAATAGTAAATCTTAAGTGTGTGCCTGTGCCTAACATATACAGCAGGCAATAAATATCATTGTATAGTAAAAACACAATAATGTTTGCTAAATATTCTTGAAAAATACTGGAATGGATTATTTTCAAATGCTGCTCAGACCACAGGCAAGAAAGATGTCTTAAGTCTACTTCACAAAAGGGAGGATATGAGATGAATATGTGAAAGCTGAGCATGTGCACCAAAGCACTGCTTTGACTACATAAAATAAAACATCCACAAATGACTCCCCAGTATCCAGGGCTGTATTTCATCTGTGCTGTCACAAGAGTGGACGAACAAGAGATGACAGCACATCAATAACGTGCGAAGAGTCATCACTGCTTCTCTGCATACGGATCGTAGCAATCAACTCTGATTACTTCCAAGTGCATCAGCTGCTAAGCACTTTCTGATGGGGAAATTCAGCTGACACTTGAGTATACTATTAAAAAAAAACTATCTTCAGATATGACTGTCACAAAACGAAATCCTTCTTGCCAAGTAGAAAATATAGTAACTCATAAAATCAGTTACATTTATGATTTTCCCCATGAAAGCATGTATAATGCATAAACAGTATGTAAGAGGCACTAAAGAGGGATTTAAAAATCTCTTGATTTTTAAAGGGATAATTATAACTCACAAATGAAGTAAATTTTACTAAAAGATCACAAAATTTCACAGAGACATTTTATAAATTTTTTAACTATAAAAGAACAGATTAAGAGTTTTACAAGTAGCAACAACACAATACTGATGATAGGGTTCCAAGCCATGCAACCACAGAGAACAGTCCCTTTTTGTACTCCCTGTGAACAAGGCTTCTTTTGGAAGGAGACTGGAACATAAGAAACATGTAAATATGGACATGTCCTTCCACAACCTCTCTCACACACAATTTACATAAGGTTCAAAGACAGCAGACTTTCTTCTCTATTAAAAGAAAAAGTTAAGGTATACTGGAAAACAACCATCACAAAAACAAAACAAAACATAGAATAGAGTAATCCCATTTCTAATAAACTCCATTCCTAAATATATTATTTCATGTTAGCTTTAGGTATAACATTGGAAAATACACAGATAGTGGTTGATATGACTGAACCCTGCTGAGATTTGGTGGCTGATTAAAATAAATACAAATACACAAAGACCTCCAAGTTTATCCTGTCTGCTAGAATACTGCATAAGCTCTTTAAAAAGCACAGTTCAGGACTTATTCATGTTTGAATCCCATGAGATTATCACAGTGCCTAAGACATAGTGAATACTTAGTAAATATTTGTGGAATTGAATTGTGAACTAGCCAACTGGATAATTACCAAGACATTCAATTTATACACCTCTCCCTGTAAGTAGGAAAAAATATTGCATTGATTCCAAGAATGTGAAAACAGAATGGCCACACAATTTATACTGCTCTTCATAAGGAACTTTGCAAAAACTGCCAACACCCAGGAGCACCTGCTTCATGCTCTCCTCCCTGCCTCTGCCTCTGCCTCTGCCGCTGTCTATTAGAAGACAGTGAATAATAAATGCAGTCAAAACAAGGAGAAGGAAGGAAAAGAGCAGTGGCAGACATGGAAAATTCCCACACAAGAAAAGCAGCTTCTCAGGCAATAAAACAAAGGGCTAACTAAAGTATTCCAATATTCATTTAGATCATCTATCAGTCAAAGTAGTCTCTGCTTCCAAACAAAGCACCTTTAAGACAGTAACAGACTTGAAATAGAAGTGGCTTTCCTTTAAAAAACAAAAAGCAAACTACAGGACGTTTTCCCAGTGTAGTTCTACAAGAGTGTACTTAAGAACTCCTAATATAAAAAGTTCAAATGTTGTAAATATGATACTACATCAAACCAGTCAATTACACGAGAGTAGTCATCAATGCCATTCAAAGAATAGATAACTGTGAAATATTAGAAATTAAGAAGCTGAGTGGCAAACACTCTTGACAACAAAATAAATGTTAAATTATGCCCTATAAGCATAACTATTTTTTTACGTTCTAGACTTTGTCAATCATTTGCATCAAAATAACCAGCCACCAAGCAATGCACTGCAGTTTAAACACTAGGCTTAGAGTCAGAATGGCCCAGGTTCAAATCTGAGATCTATCAAACACTTAACAGGGCAGCTCGTTCAGCATGTGCCTCAGGTTTCTCATCAATAACCTGGAGGTAATACCAACCTCCCTTGGATGGTGATTATGCAAATGCATATTATGAATATTATCTGACACGCACAAGAAAGTCAAAAATAACAAAAATTAACATTAACTTCATGAAAAATGTCAAATTCATGGATTACCAGTATCAATGACCAATTTTTAAAAAAATGTATTTCCTAGAGTACTTAAAATAATTCTAATAAAAAATGTTTTTAACATATTTTTACTTCAAACATCTCGGAAGTGTGAAAGACATAATATTAGTATGTCTTTCTCAGCATTATGTTCCATTTTTAGGTGAAATTGATATAAAAAAATCAGCCATTTTAACATGGATAGTTCAGTGGCCCTCAGTACATACAGTATCCCACAACCAACTCCATCAGGTTCTAAAACATTCATCACTACTGAAGGGACCTTCACACCCACTCCCCTACCTCCCCAGGCACAACAAACACGATCTGCTTACTATCCCCATGTACATTTCTGTGAATGAAACCATACAGTGTGTGACTTTTTGTGTCTAGTTTCTTTCATACAGCATGGTATTCTCAAAGTTCAATCATGTCCTATCATATCTCATCTTAATCAAATGTGCTGGTTTAATAACATTCAGATGCACAAATACAACAAAATTTTGTTTATCCATTCATCTACTAATGGACATGTGGTTTGTAAGTAGCACCCTTTGGCAATGGTAAATAGTGCTGCAGTGAACATGGGCATGTGTAAATTTTCTTGAGTTCCTATTTCCAATTCTAAGTTTATCTGAGAATGCCTTAATTTTGCCCTCATTTTTTAATAATTTTAATGAATACAGAATTCTTTTTTTTTTTTTTTTATGAATACAGAATTCTTGATGGGCAGTTTTTTCTTTTACTATTTTAAAAATATTGCCATGTTCCTCCTGCTGATTTTTCATCTTCTTACTGGGGACCCCTCCTCTTTTATGTGATAAGTGGCTGCTTTCAATGTCCTCTTGGTCATTGGGTTTCAACATAGTCTGATTAAAACATGTCTCAGTGAGGCTCTCCATGAATTTGCCTTTCCAGGGTTACACTTTCTGAATCTATAGATTCATGTCCTTTATCAAGTTTGGGAAGTTAATGATCATTATTCCTTCAAATATTTTTCTACACTTTCTCTTTCCTCTGCTCCTAAGATCCCATTATGTGCACATTAGCACACTTGCTGCCATCCCATAAGTCTCCTAAGATTTATTTATTTTTCTAATTCTTCCTTCTGCTCCTAAGACTGAACATTTCATAGGACCCAGGTTCAAGTTCATTGATAGTTTCTTCTGACTACTCTAATCTGCTACTAAAACTCACTTGTGATTTTTTTTTCCTTTTAATTAATTGTACTTTTCAACTCCAGAATTCTTTTGCTTCTTTTTCAATCATTCTATACTTTTATTGACATTCTGTAATTGTTAATATATCATTCTCCTAATATCTTTTAGCAATTCATTTGCTTTAGCTCCTTGAGCATATTTAAGGCAAATGATTTAATCCTTAACTAGTAAATCCTTGGAAATAATTTTTCTTAATGTCTTCTATGAACAGACTATACTTTGTTTCTTGTCAAATGCTGTAGCTGTATGTTTAGTGACATTGCTAAACTCTTTTTTTGTAAAGTGTGTATTCTCTGTCATATGTGGTTTCTGAAAGAGATTTCCTTGAATCTAAGAAAGGGGGCGAGGTAGAGGAGTACAGTGCAGGGGAGAGAGAGAGGGAATGAGAGAAAGATATAAAGAGGGGGAAGGAGAAGAAAGGGGAAGCAGTGAGGGAGGGAGTATCTGTGCAGATAGGCTGTGTGCCGAGGACTCTAGCACTTAGCCAGGCTGTTTATAACTTGGCCTTAGGCTGCATCTCTGCTTGCACTGAGCCCAGACATTGGCCAGAGGCAAAAGACCTTCTCAGGTCTTTTCTAAGCATGTGTCCAGTTCCAGCTCTGAAAGTGGCTTTCAAATTTCCCCAGTAAACAAGGCACTTGTGAATGTCCTAACTATTCAAAGGAATTAGAAACCATATGCAATCACATAATACTATTTTCGGTAACATAATTAAGACATGTTTTCTTTCATTTATGTTCACTCTAAAATGAGGATTACATCAGACAAATGGTGAGCTGGATTAAAGGTGTCTTTCTAACCTCTTACTGTGAGCTTGCTGTATAGTTGTGAATTCACTTCCTTGTCTCGTTGAAAACGCCGAAATTCATCCATTGCTTCCCTCATGATAGTAACAGCCAAGACAAATCCCTACAAAACAAAAAAATAAAGGAAAATTATTTTTTACTATTTGATTTTTCTTACCCCTCAATTTATAGTTGACCCTTGAACAACATGAGTGTGACCTATGTGGGTCCACTTATGCACAGATTTTTCTCAGTAAACATCTGCACTGTTTCTGATCTGTGATTGGGAATTGTAGATGTGGGTGGCAGAGGAGGAGGGGAGGGACTGAAGACCACATGCATTGTTCTATGCCATTCTACAGAGGGGTCTTGAGCAGTCATGCATTTTAGTATCTATTGAGGGTTTTGGAACAGATCCCTAGTGGATGTCAAGGGACAATTAAGTTTGGAGGAGTCAAAAGTTATAGATTTTAGACTATGTGGAGACCTAATCTCTGTATTGTTCAGGGGTCAACTGTGTATTGCTTCTAAAATATAAAATAAATGAAAATAGAAAAAGTAACAATAAAATACTATAAAAGGAATATAATACATGGTAATAGATTTCTAATTCATACTATCTTTAAGACAGTTTTTAAAATTCACATAATAATATGTAGAAACCCAAAGAAAAAAACCAATCTTCAATAAATCTATGAAGTAAGATTTGGAACATTCAAGCATTCAAATACCAAATTAACAAAGACTGACAGAAAACTCTTATAATTTCTGCACTTAAATATTATTTCTGATAGAATAAAAGCATTTCAGAAAACAAAACAATTCCCAGGTATGGCACTTATCATGATCAATTTCCTCACCTAGAGCAACATTGTGCAATGGCATTGGAGAGTACAAGTACAGTCAGTGCCTTCATTTTTTAGGTAAAAACCTGAATAGATTGATTTGATGCTAAGTAAAACTTTTATGTACTTATATTTCTGGTATTTACTGAACTGTACCCTTCTTTATGCAGTCGCCCTGATTGCTCGTGTGGGGCTCTAATGCTTGTGGCCCAATGCTCCACTCATCCATGAGCCATCACAATCTGAATCTTCAAAGTATAGCCATCACCTATAAATAATGCCACGACTCCTCTCCTGTACTCATCCATTACTGATAACCGAGCGCATGTCATGCCTCCGAGACATATGGGCCTGGCTCAGACCCTCCTCTGGTCATACCCACAACATCAGTCTCCCACCTCCAGCCTCATTTCTCTCCAAATCATCTTTCACATTACCGAACTGTCTTCTATAATATAAGTCTGGCAAATGTGTGGCCAAATCCTCCTCTTGGGATGGGCCCCAGCAATTCACTGCCCCAAACCTTTGACAGCTCCCATTTACTAAAGTACAACCTTAAGAATGGACAGCTCTCTAGCCTCATCACCCTCTTCATGATGCCTTCTCCTCCAACACCAGAGAACTGTCAGTAGTCTCCTGAAACACCTTCATGTATCTCAGCTGGTCTTTGCCAGGATATTTCCAGTAGTTACAAAAAGCACTGTTTAGAAAAGTATTCTAACGTAGCTTTTGCAATCACTGAGGACATGCCCCATCTGCACAGAGGGAGGCAGGCAGAGTGCAGCACAGATTTGAATAGCCCCCACTGAAGGTAATGGCTGATGAGCAGAGTTTGACCCTCATCTGCCCTAAAATTAACTCCTTTAAAGTATACAATTCACATTTTCAGTAATTCAGAGTTATGCCACCATCTAATTTTAGAATATTTTCATCACCCCTCAAAAAACCCAATAGCAATCACCACCATTCTCCCCTGCTGCCAGCCTGGCAACCACCAATCTACTTCCTGTCTCTATGGATATGCCTCTTCTGGGTGATATGTTTAGCATTTTCTATGAAATGCCAAACTGGTTTCAAAAATTGCACTACTTGTTCATGCACTTATTGGTCACTTGCACAAACATTTATTCATATCCTACATCCACTTTTTAACTAGTCATCTGTCTTTTCATTTTTAAGGTTTAAGAGTGTTTATATTATTCGGATACAAAGACTTTGTTAGTCATGTAATTTACAAACACGATGTTATAAATGTTTTCTCCCATTCAGTGTACTTTCTTGATGGTGTTCTCTGATGCATACAAGTTTTAATTTTGATATAGTTCAACTAACTTTTTTCATTTGGCACTTGGGGTTTAGTGCCCAAGAACACAAAGATTTAGCTCTATGTTTTCTTCTAGAAGTCTTATAGTTTTAGCTCTTTCATATAGCTCTAGGATCCATTTGGAATTACTTTTTGTGTATGATATGAACTAGTGGTCCTCCTTTATTCTTTTGCATATAGCTGTCCAGCGGTCTCAGTACCATTTGTTGCCTAGTGTTTGACATGGGACTGTGTGGGGTTGATTCTGTTTCCTTTACATGCTCCGCCCATTTCTCCAATGCACAGACTTGTGAGAAAGGGTGGACAAGGAAGACATTCAAGTCAGACTGGAAATCAGAGTCATCATGCAGGGCTAACACCTACACAGCCTGTCTGGCTGCCATTAGGTACTAACAAAGTACCAGGAGGATACTATACTGTATATGGAAGATGCAGTTAAAAATCAATCCATACTTTCTCTACCTAAAAATCTTTTCATGGGCAACTCTTGCCCACCTTATTATTTTGGTAGGAGTATTACAATATATTTCGTTACTCTGATTACACTAGTTTTGTCTAGAAGAATTGTTCTGAAAGCTGAACAATATGAAAGGTAATTTTCATTCTCATTCAATAGTATAATGAAGTCACTTTTCAGTTAATTTTTCTATTGTATGGGAAAATACCGTATAATAGAATTAGTTCAGAACAGAAACTAGTAAATAACACTGCCAAGAGTAATTGGAAAAGAAAGATTATTAATTAGATTACCAGTATTTCAGAAACATCTCAACACCAGAGAGCAGAGGGACTGTCTGAAGTAACTGGCTCCCTATAAAATTAGTGGACGTCAGACATAAGATTTTATAACCTCCAGCTATAAAATGCTTTATGCTTCTCTTGTGGGTTTTTGCCTAGGAGAAATACAGAAATGCTAACTGATTCCTTTTATGTGAGTAAGCTTACAGAAGCTTGGAGCAGGAAGAGAAAAGATTTACAACCTTTCGTACACATATAAGGCCACATGCTATTCCAAACCCCAGACACCAATTACAAAACACAGGTAAAGAAAGAGCAAGAACTCAGGAGCTTAAGAAGAAATCCCCGTGAAGATACAAACTTCATTTGTTAAAAAAAATAAACAGTACTTTTTCAATGAGACTGAAATGTGCATCAGGAATAATGTACAAGTGAAATGATCACTACTACAAAGTCTGTAACTGTGGAAAATTAGAAACAACCAAAAGCCTCCTTTCCCAGGAGGATGAACAAATACTTGTGATAGACTTATATGTTGACATACTTTAGAGGGAGAAAATGAATGAGCTAGATTTGTGTCGGTGTGGATCAATTTTCTAAACCAATGTTAAACTAAAAAAGCATATTACAAAAAGATATATAGAATAAGATAAACTATATATAAAAGTATTAAAGCATGCTAAACAATATTGCATATTGTTTAATGATAACAAATGTAAGAGCTAAAGTAAAGAGATATATAGCAAGAATAATCTCAGGTTCAAAATAGAGGTTAATTTCAGTGGGAAGAAAGGTAGAGAAAAGGAGGAATAAAACTTCCTCCTAATGGCTACTCGGCTTCACCACCAGTTTTTAAAACTGTGGTGTAAGTGTAAGTGTTCTTCCTGGGCATGTGTAGCGTATACAATGACAGCTCCCTGTTCACTGAGGATAAAATCTGAGCACCTGGAGGAGCAGACCTTCCCGGGTGTGTGTGTGTGTGTGTGTGTGTGTGTGTGTGTGTGTTCCTCCTCCCGGCCTGCCCCTATCTCCTTTCCGACCACAGTCCCAGGTCCACACCCTCTAAGTCTACAACCTCCCTCTCACAGGGACAAGCATCCTGCAGCCCTAAGACCTTTCACAACTGCTATTCCCTCTGCCTGCATACTCTTTTCCCTGTTCTGGGCATGGCCCACCTGCTCCCTCCTATCACTCTTCAGAGGGGCATGCCTTGACCATCCTATTAAAATAATTTTAACATTCCCAGTCCCCTTATATTTTCTTCTTCACAGCTGTATGGCTACTACTTGGCATTATATATTGATTTAAATTGTCTTTCTCTCCAGATCTAAGTTCTGTCAGGAAGCAGATAAATAAGATCTATTGTACCAACAGTGCTGAGACTAGTGCTGGACATAAACAAATTCACTATTGGATGATCAAGGAATTGTGTATTTTTACTACCCATGTTTTAACCCATTCTTTCCCATTTATTTTAATATATGTAACTTTAATGTTAGCTACACAGTAACACAGTATTATAACATATTCATGGCACACAGCAGAGTTGAAGAGTCCATTGTTAGAATATAATTTTTTAAATAACTTTTTCATCAAAAATAATCACAGACATGGGAGGCGGCTAATGAAGGGATAAGGACAAATATGTAATACCTTAATCAATAAAGAAATTTTTAAAAAATCAGACATTCTTTAGACTTTGTGACTGATCATTATTTCTTTGGGATAAATCACTCAAATAAAAATGCTGCATTCATCTTTAAGGCCTCTGGCGTTATTACCAAATTATACAGATCAACATCTTCAATGTCAGCACTGACATTGCCTTCACTCTCACCAATTTAGTCAGTGGCAAAGATCTATCCTGTAATTCTGCATTTATGTTACCTACACAGTGACTTTCATTGCTCTCATCCACCTAGTCCCTGTGAACAGGAACTGTAGCAGGATGGGACTTGACTCAGCATGTCCCATAAACCAGAACTCATCCATCTTCCAGAATCTGTGAGGCGTGGGCTCTGCAGATCAGAGCTAATAACCATGAGCACTATGCTCAGATTCCGGTTCTGAGGGCAGCAGTGCTGTGGTGGGAAACCTGAGCCCTGGTCTGTTCTTTCCCTGAAGGAATACTCTCACCCACCATGTTTCCTTGCCAGTATGACACTGGGTATCTGCCCCAAAGAGAGTAAATTAAAAGCAGTGCATTTTTCTAGGTGAAAGGAAGAAATTATACATTTGTCTATATAAGCTGAAAAACTATCAGCAAATAGCATAAAGTTATTAAAAACAGCAGATGTTTGAAATGAGAATACCCGTTAAGTATTATTTGCCTTTCAAACATTTTTATGCACTGAGCTGCCAACCAGAGATTGTCTGGACTCCATTGAGATACCTGAGAATTGTCATTGTCAGACAAAGGTAAACACTGCCTAATTATCAGGACATCAGGAATTACTGAATAGATCTCACATGTCATTTCTAATAGCTCAGCACAGAAGAGAGCTAGCCAAGGGGACAGGCCTGCTGTCCCTGGGAAGATAAACAAGGCCCAATAGAAGCCCTGCCCCACAACCAGCTCTGGAACTTCTGCCCAAGGCACAGCTGTGAAGGACTTAAGAACAGAACTCTGTAACATCTTTTAATAAAAGTTCAATGATACATAGCAACAATATCAGGTTTTAGAAAATCTGGTCTATTTATTAACCATTTCAACTCTTAAAACTATATTCTAGTTAATAATTAAACTTAATTTCAAAAATCTTTTCTTTTACCAGAGGAGCCCAGTAGGTGTAGAGATAGCCTATTTTCAATGCTGGTACAAACTGGGAGCAGGAGACTACCAGAAAATAGAGATTCAAGAAAAACTTGAATTGTTCATACAAAACCTAAAAAGGAAAAGAAAAAATTAACAGTCTCTTCAAGGAAAATCTTTAATATCTCATTAAATAATTAAAATCAGCACAATACCTGACTACATTTCCATCAAACAGTAAATACATACCTTCTTGGATCACAATAAATTTAATGATTTTGACATCAGCTTTCCAATAACTAAATCATATATTAAAAAAGATAACGTTACCCCCAAATCATATTTAAAATAAATTGATAAAATGACCTTTAGAACATTCAACCATGTTAAAAGTGTCCTTAAAAACCTTTTGGTTCCTGTGTGCAATTTTCCAGTTTTCTACTCCACTTCTGTTCTGTGACTCTTTATATGCACAACAAAGCAAATGAGAGAGAATAGCCTTCCCAAAGTTAGTAAGTCAGCAAATACACACATACAAATGTGTATCTTGATAACAATTCAGAAAGTATTATAATGGAAAAGTCCTGTTAACCTTAGATTTATTAAGTGGTTAAAAAAAATGAAATATGAAAGTGGATATCTGGGTAACTTTACAAAAATTGAGTGAACAAGCAAACATACACAGGTGTGACTTTCCCCCCAAAATCCCTTAATCTCCTGGAAGTATTACACCCCTTAAGTATAAAGAAATGATGAAATAGAAAGCTATGAAAATCACAGGCCAGTTTTCAGGGAAACAGCTACCTATATATTCTTTACAGTCCCCGGGAGTTGATATCAACAGTACTTTCAAATATAAAAGAAATACCATCATTCAATAAAATTTTAGGAATGCAAATCCTGCAACTTTTTGTTTTTGCTTAATTCAAATTCCTTGTTTAAGGAAGAAAACAAGATCTAGTATATTAATAGATTTCTATCTGCAAATTCTCAAAATAAGAGATTTCAATTGAAAATCAAATGGAATAAAAATCATGTTTATATCGGGTCTAGTAATAATGTCGTTTTTAACATTCGTTTAAAATCTTGCTTGGCGTTGACTTGTATTGGCATAACCTTCAAACACGTGGTATCTACAGAACGTGTGAAGTGCAATTAACAAGTTTTGCTTGAAAAAGTTTGTGTTTGGTTTGGTTTTTGTTGCAAAACTAGGGCTAAGAAGATGGCGGATGAAGAGCATATTCGGCACTGCATGCTTTACGAGTTCCAATTAGGAAGAAAAGCAAATGAGGCTGCAAAAAACATCTGTAGTGCTCTTGGTCAAGATGCAGTTAGCGCCAGAAAATGCCAGTGTTGGTTTGAAAAATTTCGCGAGGGAAATTTTTCGTTAGATGACAAGAGTGGTCGAGGCCGTGTGTCCAATTTTGATCAAGAAGCTCTTCAAGCTCTTTTGGTGCAAAATCCTCAAATTACCCAACAAGAGCTTGCGACAACTTTAAAGTGTTCACAAAAAACAATTTCCAATCAATTGCGTGCACTTGGCAAAGTCCAAAAGTTGGGAAAATGGGTTCCTCATGAGTTGACCGACAACAACCGTAATCAAAGAGTCACAATTTGCAGTTCGCTCCTCTCTCGTCAAAACCGTTTGCCGTTTTTAGAGCAAATTGTTACCGGAGATGAACAATGGGTGCTGTATGTTAATTTGAAAAGGCGGCCTCAATGGTTGGACAAAAATGAGGCTCCGCAGCCCACGCCAAAACCTGACTTGCATGTGAAAAAAGTGATGTTGTGTGTTTGGTGGAATTTTAAAGGAATTCTTCATTATGAACTTTTACCATCTAACCAAACCGTTACAAGTGCAGTGTATAGTGCCCAATTGGAAAGGTTAGCCCAAGCTTTAAAAGAAAAAGAACCCACGCTGATTAATCGGAAGGGCGTAATTCTTCACCACGATAATGCACGACTGCATACTGCAAGAATCACTGCTGAAAAACTGCGCCAGTTGGAATGGGAAGTTCTCCCTCAACCTGCATATTCTCCTGATATTGCCCCTTCCCATTACCATTTGTTTCGTTCTTCGCAAAACTTTCTTCTTGGAAAAAAATTTAATAATGAAGAATGCCTCAAAAATGCATTGACCGAATTTTTCGCATCAAAATCACAAGAATTTTACAACAGAGGGATTAAAATGCTTCCTGAGCGTTGGGCACAAGTAGTAGAAAACAACGGCAACTATATTGTTGATTAAATTTTGTTGTATTGTTTAAATAAATTCGATTTAAAAAGTATTAGAAAACGACATTAATGATTACTAGACCTAATAGATGAGAATAATTCCCATATCACATTGCAATTACAACGAAACTTATCACAAATTTGCAACTTGCAAATCCAAATATCCTTGGATACCATTAGTTATGCACCTTAGAAGGTATGGAAATTTTAACAGAGCAGAGCCATAGGGTAAGCACTTATTGTTGGTTTAGAGTATAATGAAGTTATCTGCATCATCACACAGACGAGCATGACTGAAAAATCGGTTACATTGTAACACATTTTGTTCATAATCATGTTCAATTGCTGTCTCAAAATGTTTGGAATCATTTCATAAATTAATCTCAGCAGGACAGAAAGCCCTTTTTTCCCTCAGTGGTTTCTTTAAAATCTGTTAGCATAAATTATACCTTTTAGCAATTCAGAAATTGCCATTCATGCTAAAAATGGAATAGAATCCCTACTGTGCAATTATCAAATGTTTCTAAAATACTACGTTTTAGATGAAAAGACTAATTTAAGAGACAACCTAAGAAAAAAATCATTCATAGAGTAATAGTTGTACAGACCCATCAACAGGTACCTTTGGGACACAGCATCAGGGCAGGCTGTGTGAATTTACTGGTAAAAGGTAAGCTGCACTGTTGACTTTAAACCTGAATATCTACTGATTATCTACTGACTGAATCTGGTGACCCTTAAGAATATATACAATGCTTAGCCAATCTATGAGTATTTAATAACTTAACCCTAAAGAGAAAACAGTAGCTTCATTAAAGATGAGAATATGTACCTGTCTGAAAAATACTTTGCATTTTATTGTCCTGACAGAGATCAGTCTTTTAATTGGAGCCATTAGTTTTGTGAGTTTTAATAAATGATCAGCCATTATCAAGCTCTTGCCAACCACTGAATGGATGGGTAGATGGGTGGTGGTGGGGAAATCAATGCCCACATGAAATCAGCATGATAATTTAAATGAAAACATGAAAGACAAAGCAGTCCTCATGTCACTTAATCAAATGATCTGCTTGCAAAATAGCAAGAGAGGTAATACTTAGAACTTATCAAAAACTTTGATATAAAAATATAATCAGTACCAGCCTCATATAACTTAAATAAATCTGTCATTAAAATAGGGAATAATGCACCAAAACAAAAAGTATTCAACTATTTAGTATTCTAAACATACATAAACTCAGCATTGTAATTTAATAAAAATAATAAAATATTTAAACTTTAGTATTTAAAATTAGGATTAACACCTAACTAAAGATAACTAATGATATAATAACAATAGAACAAGGTGTGAAACTTATAATGTGAAGAAAGTAGCTATAAATGCTAATAAGCATTTTGTTTCTGAGTTATGTACTTGAATCATGTTATTTTAACTGTGATGTTCCTTGGCAGGCTTTAAACACTATATTCCACTTTCCCTCCAAACAAATTCCCAGCCAAACAAAATGTATAACTTACTTTCTGATAATTTTACTTAGCTTTACTTGATTAATTCTACAATTAAATGTTTATAACTGAAGTCAATAATCAAACTATAAATTTCTTCAATTAGACTCTATGATATATCTATTAAAAATGCATAGGAATTATTTAACAATTTGAACAGGGTTGAAAAACAAAAAGATATGACACAATTAAAAACAGGAAAAAAAATTTAAAAAGAAAAACAATGAAAACAAAGGAAGCTAGTAATCTATGATATGCGACCCATTTTCAAGAATTAATAGCCTTACCCCAGGTAGAAAGGTAAAGACATTGTATTTTTGATTTTTGATGGAATTTCTGGGATGTTTTTCTTCACACTTCTCAGGATGTCCGAGCCACACAGTGCGAGCTCTCAGCTCTCTCTTTCTCTGACAAACATTTATCAGCCAATCGCAGCAACTACATGAAACAAAAGATATTGTGGATGCTTTTTAAAATTTATCCTACATATTTATAGCCAATAATGACTGCTTTCATATTTATTAGGCACTGGTAGCATATCTAAAGCTAACCTGTAGAGGTTTTCTTAAAATAGGTCAGTCATACTAATTCATATCCTATATAATAAAAGGCTAATATGCAAATTGACCGAACAGCAGAATGACCAGTCACTATGATGCGCTCTGACCACCAGGGGGCAGATGCTAAATGAAGGAACTGCCCCCTGGTGATCAGTGAGCTCCCATAGGAGGAGTGCCACTCAGCCAGAAGCCCTGAGCCAGGTTCACAGCTGGTGAGGCACAGCAGCAGTGGTGGGAGCCTCTCCTGCCTTCATAGCAGCACAGGAATGTTTGCTTGCTTAGGCCCACTCCCAGGCCTAACCCACCAATCAGACATCCTCTGAGGGCTCCCAAACTGTAAGAGGGTGCAGGCTGGGCTGAGGATCCCCCTCAACGAGTGCGTGAATTTTGTGCACTGGGCCTCTAGTTTGATATAAAATACTGAGAGAGACTTGTGTAACTGTGCATGACTTCTAGAACCTCAAGGAAATTATCTTCCATGTTTAGACCTGCTCTTGGCCAAATAAAACTATTAACATTCTGAAGTGGCCCATACTTCAAGTGCTAAGGAAAGGTTCGCTGTTACTGGTGACACTCAGTACACCACTCGGTGGTTCTATGTGACCTCCTCTCCATGTAATCAATTTTTTCCTCTCTTAAGATGACTTTTCTATTAGCATTAATGTAAAATAAACACTATGGCTCAATTCAGTATTTAACATTACTGAGAGGGTTTAATGATAATGAAAGCTTGACTATATTTCCATGCAGATATCTTCATCTTAGCAAAAAACACTTTAATTCTAAATCAGTTCTCACTCCAGTTCCCAGGGTTCTGGGAACATGAGCACTTCCCCTGCCTGGACACACAACCATTATTTTTAGGGGGAGTATTAAGTTTCCAGTGGATAACCTTTTAAAAATACTTCAGAAAATGATAAAAAGTAGCAAATTCATCTCTATTAAGAATGAAATAATTGTGAATTTAAATGTCAGTAGTAACAGTGCAGTTTAATTCAAATTTGCAGAACTTCATCTTTTAGATGTAGTCAGGATTAGAACTGTAAATCAGTATTTAACACATGAATTGTAAACTTTGTGACAACAAAGATCGAAAGCTAATGTGAAATATGTGTGACAATGGCAGCCTTAGAAGATGTGGCTGTAAAATGAGGTTGGCAAATTGTGAGGTAAGCATAGCCTGAAGTCACTGCAGGTTTTTCGTGGCGGGGTACATGTGGCAGAGCTCAGTCACTTCAGTCACACCATATTATTTTTAGAATCAAAGAGGCTAAGAACAGATGTGTTTATAATCATCAATGGTGGCATCCTATAGCAGGGAACATCAATGTGTTTAAACTGAAATCAGTACCTCCCTACTGTTCTATCTGCCCAGTTCTTGATTGTGCTCAGAAAATCTTCAGTCTGAAGAGGGATTGGAGCATGGCTATCTCGGTATCTCGTGGCCCAGCCAAGGAATTTGCTCAGAAACACCCCTCCTTCTCACCCACTTCCTGCTTCAACTGGAGCAGGTAAGGAAAAACCCAACTCTGCAAGGACTAATTTCTTACCATTGTCTGCCATCACTTTAAAAATATTGATAAATCACAACAGATGGCATCTCCACACATACAATGTAAGTTCAAATCACCAACAGTATACATTAGGATATGAATAAAGTGATTGAAGGTTGTCAAAACAGTATTCCACTTTACTGGTTTTGGGTGGGAGGGTGCTAGTCAAGTACACTGTGGCAAAATGCTGGTAATATTGATCTTATTCATGCTTGAATTAAACAAAAATTTAAAAAGGCTTCAAATAAAATGAAATAAGCTTCCAACTACTATTTCTCACCTTTCTCTATAACTCCACCACCTCCTGACACCATGCACCCTGCTGCTCACTAGAGGTCTCTCCTGAGTTTTGACCCCACAGCTAAGTGCTCAGGAGGGCTCCTTCCCAGCTCTGCAGCAGCAACTCCACAGTGCAATCTCAGACCCTGTTATATGCATGTTCCTGTGCACAAAACCCCACAGTTACATTACACACATGGCACATCCAAGTTACCCAGGTTATGACGGGATTTTTTCTTTCTTTTTTTCCCCCTTTTTTAAAATATATTTTATTGCCAAAACCGGTTTGACTCAGTGGATAGAGCTTCGGCCTGTGGACTGAAAGGTCCTGGGTTCGATTCCAGTCAAGGGCAGGTACCTTGGTTGCGGTCACATCCCCAGTAGGGGGTGTGCAAAAGGCAACTGATCGATGATTCTCTCTCATCAATGTTTCTAGCTCTCTATCCCTCTCTCTTCCTCTCTGTAAGAAAAATCAATAATATATATATATAAATTGAACCCAGGACCTTTCAGTCTGCAGGCTGACACTCTATCCACTGAGCCAAACTGGTTTCGGCGGAACTTTTTCTTAAACTGTGGACTGAATCAGAATCTCAGATAGCTGCGCATTAACTGCATAGATGCCACATCTTACATAGAAAAAAACCGGAGGCCAAAGGGATATGATTCATCAAAGACAAGCACCGAGGGATGGCAGAGCTGACCCCCTAGCTGTGTCCTCCCTGCTCCCTAACAACAGTTGGGTGGCTTCTGCTCATTCATAGGCTGCTGTCCTCAGCATCAGACAGAACAGCAGACAGTCAACAGATAATAATAAATGAACAATTTATAAGCGGGAACAAGTCTCACTAGACATTTAACTACGGAGATCCTGGTCTGTTTGCTTCCTCGTCTCAGAGGCACTAGCGAGGGGAGAGCCGCACATTGGGAAACCCTTGCACAGCTGCCACCCTCAGCACTCAGCAGTTCTGCTGCCACTGTCCTGCCTCCAGTGTCACAATCAAAGGTCTCCAACCTTACACCAACTCTGCAACAAAAGCCTACATTCCTACTCTTCCCAGAAAGCAGCCATTAACACATGTGGCATTTTAATGGGAAGTAAAATTAAGTAAAATAAAAAGTCCAGTTCCTCAGTCACCTGAGCCATATTTCAAGTGCTCAATAGCCACCTGGGGTAGTGGCCATCATACTGGACATCTCAGGTCTAGATTATTCCCATCGTCACAGGGAGAGCTACTGAGCAGGTAGGTACAACACGAGATACACGCTTCCCTAAGCACTTCAAAACAGCAAAACTCGTCTAGGAATGTGTTCAGATATAAATGTTTGTTCTGAAACACATAATTACCTAATTTAATTGTTTAATGAACAAAAATCAGACAAACATAAGATGATATAGAGGACAAGCAAAATACATGTTTGAAAAAATATAAAAGTTAGGAAATGCAGATTTTACAGTTTGTGCTGTTATTAACATATTCTTCTATAGGCAGAAAGCTCTGTAAAACCATCTTTACTAGCAAAAGAAATTGATCCACCCCCAACTACCTGTCCATCCCCCACGCTCCTCCCCTGCTAACTCCTTACGTCTCAAATTCTAAATTAAATACCAAGGGCTAGAAACACATACATTCAACAGTTCATTAATTTTTTCCTCTAAAACCCTATATAGAATAAACTAAGATTCCTAGACTTCTAAAATATAACTCAATTATTCATAACACTTTGCTACTAATAACTATTAACAAGTAAAAATGTTATTTCTAATTATTTCCTTAAAAAAGATAGAATCAGTGATGGTCAAGGAGCCACGATCAAATCCCACTCTACTTCAAAAAATTAAATGAATACACAGGCTTAAGGTTTTAAAACAGGGTAATAGGGGCAAAGTAATGTGAGTAAAATACGTTGCCAAATACTGATAAATGAGAGGGAGAAAAAAGAGAAGTTCTTCAAAGAAAATAACCAGGAACTTTACATAATAATGTTTTTCTGCTGCTAAATAGTTTCTAAATTGTCAATGATTTAGAAGACACTTTTCCATTTATATATCAATCCCCTTATATAATTGAACTTAAATCCAATAGTGCACAAATTATGTTTTTTCCTTATAATATTTTAGGAGTATAGTTTTTCACAAATGCCTCCTTCAATCATCAAAGTGGCACTCTAATATTAAATAAAGCATAGACATATATATGTATATGTATATATCCTGTTTCTAAAATTTTAACTAGCCATAATAACTCCCAAAATTGAGAGCCTCCTTAAAAAAGAAATAATTAGGCATTACTATATCCAGCAGATCCCTTTGGTTACCAATCCGAAAGCAACACAGTACTCAGGTCTTCTTAAAAGATCCACACTTTCCCATGCCTATGCTTCTGCACCCCAAATGTGTGGCAGATTAACAGAGCATGTAGAGGCCATTTAGAACTAGGAATAATCCCAGCACTTGATATCCCCTTCCTTCACATGAAAACACCATTCAGGACTCCACTTTTTTAGGGATGAAGTGATTTTTGATAATAGTGGAATGGAAATCTCGTGAGAAAACTCTCATATTCTCTTGAACTACACACGTCTGCGTGTGCTTCACAATTTTGCACAGGAAGGACAGTCAGTTTCTGAAGACAGACAGCATAAAAAGTATTTCAATGTGGCAGAGTTGGAATTTTTGCCAAATAATAAGCCTACTCGTTCCCGGAAGAAGAATTCTAAAGTAAATTTTACTACCTGCAGAGTCTACAGAGATACAATGAAATATTTACAACTCATTAATATTAGTTGCAATCTACCTGAAATATTTACAACTCATTAATTATTTGCTATCTACGTTATTGCGATGTTCACCCACATTCCCTCCTACAATTAAACTAAATAATTTCATGTATCTTCTACTCTTTGATCCATCACCTAATAATATTAGGAACATCAAATTTCATCATGCCTGATATTTAGGATATTAAAAAGCAGAAAATATTGAAAACTAAAAATTTATAATAAAGAAAATAAGATCTAAGTTGCTAAATATACAATTTGTTCTGTAAGATGCAGTTTTTAACAGTTTTTCGGTACAGCAGATGCCTACTGAACATGAAGAGTGTGACAACATCTCTGGTCATCGTGCCATTTTGATCAGCAGTCACCAACCTTTTAGACCTCATGGACCATCAGTGGTCCTCAGACCACCAGTTGGCAATCGCTGATTTAGACTAACACCTGCTAAGATAGCTCTTCCGCATGATCGAATCTATTAAGAGTTTTTCTGCTGCTAAAATTTACATTTTCAAATATGCTCTTAACATTTGCCTTAAAAAAAGAAATGTGGCACAAATAAAATCCAAAATTTAGATATGTTCCATTTGGTAAAAATAAAGACTATAAAAAAACAAAAATAATTTTAAGTGTATTCAGCACTGTGAAGACTGAAAACATTAAAAGTCTGTAATTCTTGGCAACTATTGGGCAGTATGGGAAGTACCATGCACCCTGCCCAACACTGCTCCACTGACCCCCACCTCTTGACAGCCAGCTCTGAGTGCTCAGGGTCTCTGCTGATGGACAAACAGTAATAAAATTATGCTGGGTTCAATACAAATGCATGGTTAGTGATTTCCTTTTGTTAATTATTGATGATCTCTACCAAAGCATGACCAATTTCCCCATTTTGTTAGTCCTCATCTGGGCCCATCACCTCCTCACTCAAATGAGCCTATGTTCCAATTAAGGGTAAGGGCTGGGAATTGTGTGTGGGGAGTATGTGAATACAAAAAGCAGCATTGATTTTAGTTTGAATTTATTTCAAGATAAAATTTCAAAAGCAAAGATAACACTAAAAATTTGGTTCTCTGAAAAGAATAAAACTGACAATCTCTTATCAAGATTAATGGAAAAAAAGGAGAAAGACAAATTACTAATATTAGGAATAAAAAAGGTGACATCCCTGCAGAGCCTCATGAATTAACTAGATCAGAGAAATTTAAATATAAATTTGAAAATAGATAAATCACTTGAAAAGCACCAAACATCACAACTGACACAGAACAATTAAACAAAAAAATCTGTACAGTTCTACATCTGTTAGAGAGATTAACCCTAGAAATGAGTATGTACCCACAAAGAACATTCCTGGAATACTGGCTATTTAACTCAGAAAATGTTTTGGGCTTTTAAGCCATAAACTTATTAAACTAGAGGCCTACTGCACAAAATTCATGGACTGGGGTGGGGGTGTCCCTCAGCCCAGCCTGCCCCCTCTCACAGTCTGGGAGACCTCAGAGGATGTCCTACTGACGGCTTAGGCCTCCCTCTGTGGGAGGTGACCATGCTGATCAGGGGAAGGCGCCACCCCCATGACCCTGCTACTGCTTCCACTGCCAGCAGCCATAGCCACCAAGGTGTTTACATCAACATGGACTCCAGTCCCTTCACAACAAAAAAAATGTCAACTTTCTTTAGGCATTTTCAAGATGTGTCTTTCATAGGATATGACATTTCTTTCTTTCTTTTTTTTAATCCTTACTTGAGGATATGTTTCCATAGATTTTTAGAGTGTGTGGAAGAGAGAGGAAAAGACAGAGAGAAACATCAATGTGAGAGGGATACTTTGATTGGCTGCCTCCTGCATGAGCCCTGGAGGAGCCTGTAATCTAGGTACATGCCCTTCATCAGAATTGAACCCGGATCTTGCAGTCAGCAAGCTGAGGCTCTATTCACTGAGCAAAACTGGTTAGGGCAGGATCTGACATTTCTTAACCCCTCCAGCACAGGACCTTTGTTTTCGCTTCCAGGAGTGCGGTGGAAGAACCCTAGAACACCTTCGTGGATTCTTATTACCCAAGTTACCAAGAACACTGTGAGTGGCGGTGTGCAGGGAGCTTAGCCAATGAGCAATCAGAAAAGGTATTTCCTCTGCAGCTCAGGCGCAGAGGCCCCCCCGTGTGTGTCTGCTGGGCTGGGGGCGTGCTCCGAGTTGCGCTGGTTGTGACTGTTAAGGCTTGGAGCCAGTCATGATTATAAAGGCATCCTGGACAAATTTGCACATTACCTCTTTTATATAGATAGATAGATAGATAGATAGATAGATAGATAGATAGATAGATAGATAAGTATCACAAGTCAGCAATTTCTAAAACACTGTTTGGCCATGAAATTTCCTTCTTCATCTGAAAAGCATATAACATACAGTAAAGATGAAGATAAGGCCTATTTTAACTAGAAGCTGGTGAGGAGACTAAACCCTACTCAGCCACCCCTCCTGGTTCCAATCCCTGAGGGATTCCTCAGTCCCTAGGATTCCACAGAATACAGCTTGAATACCACTTCATGAGTGACCCAGAAATCAAATAAGGTATAAAAACATTTGTTTGAACACATCTAACAGGATAATGAAGAGGAGGAGGATGAACAAGATGTTTCTACAATTATTTATATCCCTTTTATGGGCAAAGAGATGCAAGTTAATGATCATAATGAAGGCACTGACTGCAAACCTTGAACAGCAAAAAGAGTAAAAGCTGTAACTTATCTGAAACACTCAACCCAAGTTATGACAGCATGGTCTCTGAGATCCTGCCCTGCCTGTCCCAGGGGTATGCAGTACAGTCAGTGGCAAAGGCATACAAGGTCTTTTCACATACCAATTCTACACAGCTTTCATACATGTCACACACAACATCGGTTTCCCTCAACCACCAGTGGACTAGTTTAAATATAGAAGTTCTTATCTTAATTTCTTTCTGGTTTAAATGAACAGAAAACTCTTATTTCAAGCCAAAACATTTAAGTCAAGAAATATGCATAGCTACCATGTAATTAAATTCCATGTCTATCTTTTGAAATGGGAGTACAATTACAGCTGGAAAAGAAAGGGCACAGTTTATAAATATCAATATAGAAATAGAACTAATTGTACCACATATTAATTACAAAATCACAAATTTTCTTCTTTTAAACATTAAAACATCTGTAAAGTACATCATTTTCTAACCACTATGCTGTACACTTGAAACTAATACATAATAATATTGAATGTAAACTGTAATTGAAAACAATTTTTTAATTGCTAAAAAAAAATAATAATCTCACAAAAAAAGTGAACTTGGGCCGAAACCGGTGTGGCTCAGTGGATAGAGCTCTGGCCTGCGGGCTGAAAGGTCCCCAGTTCGATTCTGGTCAAGGGCACGTACCTTGGTTGCAGGCACATCCCCAATGGGAGGTGTGCAAGAGGCAGCTGATCGATGATTCTCTCTCATCGATGTTTCTAACTCTCTATCCCTCTCCTTTCCTCTCTGTAAAAAAATCAATAAAAAAAAAAAAGTGAACTTGGTTTTTCATGTCTTTTAGATCAGTGCTGCTTGGTTCTGACTAATGTACTAATACTCTCCATGACACCATTTAGAAAGCAACTTCCTTAGTTTGATTAAAAAGATAAGTATGGCCAGTATGGCTCAGTGGTTGAGTGTTGATGCATGAACCAGGAGACTTTGGTTCAATATCCACATGCCCTGGCAGTGGGCTCAATTCCCAGTGTGGGGCATGCAGTAGGCAGCTGATCAATGATTCTTTCTCATCATTGATATTCCTATCCCTTTCTCTATTTCCCTTTCTCTCTCTGAAATCAATAAAAACATATTTATATACATAAGAGCCCAGTGACTGAACAGCAGAACCACCAGAATGACTGGTCGACCAGTCACTATGATGCTCACGGACCACCAGAGGGCACTCAATGCAGGAGCTGCCTCCTGGTGGTCAGTGCACTCCCACAATGGAAAGTGCTGCTTGGCTGACCAGGATGAGAGGTGCTCCTACAGCGGGCTGATCCCTGCAGGCCTTGCCCCCGACCAGTGCACAAATCCATGCACCAGGCCTCTAGCTTAAAAATAAATATGGTAAAAACTAATCTTATGTGTAATGTAACAATGCAGCTTGGTGCACAGAAAATTAGGTGCCAGGGGCCACACACCTGGTGCAGAGGAACTTCCACCCTCCACAGATGAACCACCCCAGCCCTCGTCTTCTCCGCATGACCCTGGCGCGTGGCAAAGTGTGGTAATCACTCTCATCATTCTCAAAGCCTTCTTCAGACATCATTAGTGGCATTTCATCCAAATGGGCAGACTCATCTTCCAGCTGGTACCTGGTTAAAGATAAGAACAGACCAGAGAAGAATTTGTGAAGATGCATTAGAAAAACTTTCTTTTTTTAGTAACGTAAATAAACTTTAACCATCAATTCTGACTATCTCATAAAAACTTTAAATGTATCTAAGATTCATCTACAAAGATGATCACCAAGCTGTGCTGCTTAAAAGTATACCCAAAAAAGTATGTGAAAACTTTAATATTGATGATTAGACTTGATACCATATTATCACTAAAAACAATAAAGTAGAAGACCTTTTGCTGAAAAAAAGTTTGTTAGAAAACAATGCAGTCACTTATTTGCACTCCTCCTTTGAACACATCAATGCACCAATCAAAATGAGCCCCATTCTGGTCTCTTCACACAATTCTCCACAAACAACTCCAGTTAATACCAATCCCATTATAGAATAGCTTGATCACAGTAGTAATCATTTTAGATAATTTAGGCAAAAAATTATATGATCTGTGTACAGGCCTAAAACAGAATGTTTCCTTTTAAAAATTCCTTTTTTCTTATTCTCTGTATAACATGACTTCTTTAAAAACATATTGAGGAAATGAATATTTGTACAAAATATAAAGTTCAAAACATCATTTAAATATATTACCCTCTATAAAAAAAAGGGTAATATGCAAATAGACCAAACGGCAGAACTGACCAATCAAAATGCAATATGCTAATAATATGCTAAGGTTGCTCAACTGCTTGCTATAATGTGCACTGACCACCAGGGGGAAGACAGTAAACTGGTCCACAAGTCACTATGATGTGCACTGAAAAGCAGGGGGCAGATGCTCCAACTAGTAGATTAGCTTACTGCTGGGGTCTGGCCAATTGGGACTGAGCAAGATAGGCCGAACATGCCCTGGAGCCCTCCTTGGCCCAATCGTGAACCAATGGGGTCCCTCAGCTTGGCCTGCACCCTCTTGCAATCTGGGACCCCTGAAGGATGTCAGAGTAGGTTTCAGGCCGATCCCACAGGCCACTCCTCTTGGGAGGGTGCCAGACGCAGGGCTCATGGCTGGCAAGCACTGCTGTGGCAGCTCGAGCCTCCTGATCGGGATTCATTGGGCATAAGCCCACAACAGGCATAGTGGGGCTGGGATGAGTGGAAGCGGCAGGCAGTACTGGACTGAGGGTTTTGGCCCAATCCCTGCAGGCCACCCAGAGGGACCCCCCACCTGTGGACGAATTCGTGCACCAGGCCTCTAGTAATATATATATATATATATATATATATATATATATATATATATGCATGAGACTTTCAGTCTTTTTCATTAAGTTCTTCCAATTACTGTGATGCATTAGGGAAAATCACAATCTTATTCATCTCAATGCTGAAAAGCAGCCCAGTGTGTCTAAAAGATGCTGAGTATGAGCAACATCACGGTTAGTAACCTGGCCTTCAGAAACAGAGCCTTTCCACTGACCAGCACTTTATCCCATTTCCAAAGCAATTTTCCTACTGTATCGAAGATTTTACTTCAGTATTTAAAAACAATAAGATGATGAATAATGTATTTTTTCATAGATGGGCTAAGCAGAGAATCTTAAGTGTCTTTGTTGCCTGGTGTCATACACACTTAATTGGTTTGTCACTCAAGAAAAATCAACCTTTCCAGCAATTAAGTATAATTCTGAAAACATTTTAAGACAAAAACTATGTGAACAAAGACAACAGAATGAACCCAAGAGTACTGCCATATAAGAAATGAAGACAGCTACCCTAACTGCTGGCAAAGGTTTTAAAAAATTTAGGAATTGTTAACAAAACACTGAAGTACTGGGAGGCGCATAATTTATGTGTATCTAAGTGTAAGTAGGTCAATATAATAACTAGCTTATAGTCACATTTTTATCTTAAATATCTAACAACTTTGTTTCCATTGTGATGAGAAACATTTCTGAGAAGTAAATTAATATATAAGGGAGAATACATTTAATATATATCTAATGCTTAAGTTTTCTTTAAGAAAAATAAATAATTCCCCATTTGCCTGCATGATAGTAAAGCAAAAAACAAAAGTGCTAAAAGGAAATGTTTGTTTTCTTTATCAAATATGGCTTCAAAGTTCAATTATGTCACTGATGAGTCATGAATAAGTAGCAAAACCATATGAACTACCAGAGAAACTGGAACTCTCCCTCCCATAGCAGCAGAGGAGCTAACCAATTGAAGAGTAGGTAAAGAAAGAAAGAAACTGCCTGAAAAACAGGGTTTGACCTTAGTAGAGAAATCAACAAGAACAAGAGTCAGTCAGCCCCTCAAACTGAGAGGGGTTCCCATGTGAATTGTGCACACAGTAACCTTGGAGCTATTGCCTCCTCTTCAAAAATATTCTGTAAGAAACTTAAATACTAATTTCATTGAGGCAAACCTCTAAACTTGAGTTAATGGAGCAATATCTAATATTATACCAATCAGAAATTTAAAGATATTTGGGCCAGTTAGCACAAGACAGTTGCCTAAAACTCTGATGTTTCCAATTACCAACTCTATCCACATGAGCACACTGTCAGTAGTAGAAAAAAAGTGAAACATTTCTATTCTGGCAGGCCTAAACAATGCCATAACTTGAGTGAACTAAAGACACACCTTAAAGAAAATTTTATAAATCTTAGGATATGTCTCTGATTTTGAGGTATCCTGGGCCTGGGCACTTTGATGAACACTGTCTTAAAAAATCATTCAGTACTTTAAAAAAGCTTTTCAATGGCAAACCATCAGAGCAGAAGAAAAGTTTCACCTTTACAACTAGTAAGATATTTTTAGATCTTCATCATAGTTATAAAAATTATCAAGAAAATTGTGTAGACCCTCAGAATGAGAAAACAAGCACTCAAAAATGTGTTTTCCTCTACCAATAAATATTTTAGAGATAACCAGACAACAGACATCTGTTCTCAGCATGAATCTCTTTTAAATACTAAAGTTTAACTATTATAACACTGCAAATACCTCTAGGCAGGGCCAAGAGCCACACTACAAAGAGAAGCAAGGAGATGTGCAACAGACACCGGCAAACAAAATCATGTTCAGTGTCACTCTTCAGTCACACATGCAAGATAATTTGAATGACTCAGGTACCATAAAAAAGGAATAAAAAAATCAAATTAATAAATATCTTACATTTAACTCATGCCATCACAATGCAAAAGAGAAACTCATGCCTCACATACCTAACAGAAAATGATCTCCTTTTTAATATGTTTTTTATTGATTTTTAGAGAAAAAAAGGGAGAGGGATAAAAAAATATAAACTAAGCATATCACAACTACAAAAAACACACTTTTAAGGTAAGTAGATTATGAGTAAAAAGGTAGAAAATTATATGCCAACATTAATCAAAACAAAGCAGGAATGGTTATAACAATGTCAGAAAATATAAACTTCAGAGCAAAATTATTACAAGAGGCAGACAGGGAAATTGTGGTGTCCTTGTCAGTCCTTCAAGAACACAAAGCAATCCCAAATATGTATGTACCAAATGACAGACCTGCAAAACAAGTGAGCAAAAACTGATAAACTAAAAGGAGAAACAGACAAATTCACAATTACAATTAGAGACCTCAGCATCCTACTCTAAACAACTGATAAAGCAACCAGACAGTAAACCAGTAAGACAGAAGAACACAATGCCATTAACTAACAGGACCTAATCAATATTTCAGAATATTTCACCAAACAACAACATAATACTCTTTATTTCAAAGGACTTTTGAATTCTTATCAATTTAGACCATATCCTGGGTCACAAAACAAACTACACCATATTTACAAGTGAAATCACATGAAATATGTTCTTTGACTACAAAGGAATCCTATTAGAAAAGATATTAATAAGACTCACATTCTCCTAACATTACTGACAAAATATCCAGGATACAATTGAAAACCTTCAGTCATACCAAAAACCAAAACACTCACAATGTGAATCAGAAAAGACAATCAACTGATGCCAAAAAAATAAGATTAATTTAGACAGTGAAATTCTGTTACAGCATTTTAAGCTGAAAACATAAAAGTGCTTTAACAATCAATTACAGATTCTTTTGAAACAAACAGAAATTATAAAACTAAAAAATACAATACTAAAAAGTAAATATCACTGGGTGGAATCAACAGTAGAGTGAAGATGACAGGGAATGAATTAAGGAACTTTGAGAACAAATAAACAGAATTTACACAATCTGAACAATACAGAGAAAAGAGACTGGGGGGGACAGCCTAAGGAAATTATGAAACACTAACAAAAGATCCAACTTTCATAGCACTGGAATTCTGAAAGGAGAGGATTAACAATGGAAATGAAGGAATAATAGCTGAAAACTCCCTAAATTTGGTGAAACAAAAAGCCAACAGGTTCAAGAAGCTTAAGGAATGCCAAACAACATCAACCTAAAGAAATCTACACTGAGATACATCATAATTAAATTTCTGGAAACTAAAGACAAAGAAAAAACTTGAAAGCAGCCAAAGAGAGAGAGGACACATTACCTACAGGAGAACACCAATTCGAATGACAGCAGACTTCTAATCAGAACCATGGAGGATGGGAGAAAGTGAAACAAGTTTTTCAAGAGCTAAGAATTGTCAACCAGGAATTCTATATCCAATAAAACTATCCTTCTGGAATGAAATAAAAGAAATTTCAAGATTGGCTATAGGAAGTTCTCCCAATGGAAAGGAAATAAAAAGAGAATCCTCGAACATCAGGAAGAAAGGATATCAGAAAGAGCAAAAGTATGGGTTCATAAAATGGACTTTTAAGTCACATTTGGTGATTTAAACATAAAGGGTTACACCATCTGATAATCAGGACACATTTTAAAATAAATTTTTATTGATTTCAGAGAGAGGAAGAGAGATAGAAACATCAATGATGAGAAAGATTCATTGATGGGCTGTCTCCTGCATGCCCCGTACTGGGGACTGAGCCCACAACCTAGGCATGTGCCCCAGTGGGGAATTGAACAGTGACCTCCTG